ACAGGAGTCCGATAATTTGACAGCGGAGAGGGTTGTAAGAGGGCTTTGACCAGTTTGTCAGCCACCGATGTACCTAAGAGGGTCATCCGACTCTCCGTTACGTCAATTTGTCTTGCACCGCAATGGATAAACTTCCTACGATTTGTCACCAACGATTCTCATTAAAAATCGATCGATCGTGAACAGTCTCCTGTATATTTTGAATATTCAAATCTCCCCCGCGATCGATACTACCTCCGTTTGAAAAGATCAAATTTCATCGAGTCCACCGAATGTATTTCATCTGAACCATTACACGAAAAATATTCAAATTAATTAATTACAATATACAAAACAATCTTAATGTTCTTTTACGTCATTCTTATCCTATATTTCGGAGGAAACATAGAGTAGTTCTTCTAGTTGTCAGAAATTTATTTACAATACATCAAGTTATTAACTAGGTCCCACTAAAGAGATTCACTGTGTGTGTGTGTGTGTGTGTGTATTATATTTATTAAAATTTGATTGGCGATTAATTAATTATTATTTCTCAATGGGAGAACTGTGAGCAACTAATATAAATAACCGTCCAAGCTGGTGGACAACGTTTACGGTAGGTAAACACCAGTGAGTGCACATTACTGGTGATGCAAAAATGCGAATCTCTCAATGATCGGGCAGACAAGTTGAACGTCGCTAGACTGAAATTATTCCTTACGGCCAAAAGCATCGACCCAATATCACAAAACAATTACAGAAATTACATATTTATGCCTTCATTGACACAAACTCTTACGGAGGAAGCGGCAACCTTTATTGCAACAAGTTCTGATCACGTTTACACCGTTAAACGAACATCATTTTTCTTCGTCATACATTAGAAATGAAACATAGAGAATGTGGATTAATACCCTCTATTGGCTGAGAAACAATACTTATAAGAATATTGTTAGAATCACAGTTGTTTGCAACGGTTGACGCTGTATCTAATCACGCGCACCTCGTTTAGTTCACTTTGGACAGCTCTAACAGAGATATGCGGACAGCTTACGTCTAGACCAACCATTCCATTTGAAGCTTAAAAAACGTAGATTAATCCCCTGTCATTGGCAATAACAATAAACGTCCAGAACACTGTTAAAATCGCATTTAATTATGGAATACCACTATTTTTTTGACCGGTGGCGCCACCCGTGGCAAAACGCTCAAACTGCTAGCCAAATCATACCGACAGGTGAGTGAAAATTTCTGGTGATGGAAAAATTCGAATATCTCTGTAATTAGGGGTTACAAAGTAACGCTGTTTGTCTTAAATTATTTCCCACGACTCAATGCATCGGATCAATACTGCAAATTCTCTTAAACGGACGAATTATTTCTGTCAGTTTTATTACAGTTGACAGAAATAATTTGTCCATTTATGATGGTTTGCAGTATTGATCCGATGCATTGAGTCGTCAGAAATCATTTCAGACAAACAGCGTTAATTTATAACGCCTAATTACAGAGATATTCGCATTTTTCCATCACTACAAATTTTCACTCACCTGTCGATATAATTTGGAGCGGCAATCCGGTTGCCAAAAAGTTTCTATCGCATTTAAATCGCTATACGGGCATGATTCTTCTTCGTTTTGCATTAGATACAACGATTAAAGAACGTAGATTACTATTCTCTAACGGCTTGACACTAGTAATTAGAAGAACATTGTTAAAATCGCATTTGTTTGCAACGGTTGACACTGTATCTCGTCATGCGTACCCCGGTTAGTTCACTTTGAATAGCTCTTCCAACGTTATATGGACAGGTTACGTCTTGATCAAGCATTCAGTTTGAAGCTGAAAGAACGTAGATTGATCTCCTATCATTGAAAATAAGAATAAACAACCAGAACACTGTCAAAATCGCATTTAATTGCGGAATACCATTATTTTTTCGACCGGTGGCGCCACTCGTGGCAATTCGCTCAAACTGCTAGCCAAATTATACCGACAGGTGAGTGAAAATTTCTAGTGATGTAAAAATGCAAATATCTCAGTAATTAAGCACTTAATATGAACGTCGTTGGTCTCAAATTATTCCTGAGAACTTACTGCAACGATCCAATACCGCAGAAACCCTAAATTAGTAAAATTATTTATGCCTGTATTACCGTAACCTCTTATGGGACGACAACCTGATTGCAAAATATTTCGATCGCATTTACACCGCTAAACGGGCATGATTCTTCTTCGTTTTGCATTAGATACAACGTTTAAAGAACGTGGATTTCTATTCTCTAACGGCTGGACACTAGTAATTACAAGAACATTGTTAAAATCACATTTGTTTGCAATAGTTGACACTGTATTGCGTCATGCGTACACGGGTTAGTTCACTTTGAATAGCTCTTACACCGTTATACGGATAACTTTCGTCTAGATAAAATACTCGATTTATAGATGAAAGAACGAAGATTAATCCTCTGTCATTGAAAATAACAATAAACAACCAGAACACTGTTAAAAACGCATTTAATCGCGGAATGCCACTATTTTCGACCGGTGGCGCCATCCGTGGCGAACCGTGGAAACTACTAGCCATATAATTGGCTAGCAGTTTCAGCTATTCGCCACAGATGGCGCCACCGGTCAAAAAAGTAGTGGTATTCCGCAATTAAATGCGATTTTGACAGTGTTCTGGTTGTTTATTGTTATTTTCAATGACAGGAGATCAATCTACGTTCTTTCAGCTATAAATCGAGTATTTTATCTAGACGAAAGTTATCCGTATAACGGTGTAAGAGCTATTCAAAGTGAACTAACCCGTGTACGCATGACGCAATACAGTGTCAACTATTGCAAACAAATGTGATTTTAACAATGTTCTTGTAATTACTAGTGTCCAGCCGTTAGAGAATAGAAATCCACGTTCTTTAAACGTTGTATCTAATGCAAAACGAAGAAGAATCATGCCCGTTTAGCGGTGTAAATGCGATCGAAATATTTTGCAATCAGGTTGTCGTCCCATAAGAGGTTACGGTAATACAGGCATAAATAATTTTACTAATTTAGGGTTTCTGCGGTATTGGATCGTTGCAGTAAGTTCTCAGGAATAATTTGAGACCAACGACGTTCATATTAAGTGCTTAATTACTGAGATATTTGCATTTTTACATCACTAGAAATTTTCACTCACCTGTCGGTATAATTTGGATAGCAGTTTGAGCGAATTACTGGACACTAGTAATTACAAGAACAATGTTAAAATCGCATTTGTTTGCAAGGGATGACACTGTATCTCATCATGCGTACCCCGGTTAGTTCACTTTGAACAGCTCTTCCAACGTTATATGGACAGGTTACGTCTTGATCAAGCATTGAGTTTGAAGCTGAAAGAACGTAGATTGATATCCTGTCATTGAAAATAACAATAAACAACCAGAACACTGTCAAAATCGCATTTAATTGCGGAATACCGTTATTTTCGACCGGTGGCGCCATCCGTGGCGAATCGGTGAAACTGCTAACCAATTATATGGCTAGCAGTTTCAGCGATTCGCCACGGATGGCGCCACCGGTCCAAAAAATAGTGGTCTTCCGCGATTAAATGCGATTTTAACAGTGTTCTGCTTACTTATTGTGATTATAAATGATTGGGGATTAATCTACGTTCTTTAAGCTTCAACCCGAATGCTTGATCAAGACGAAAGCTGTCCGCATAGCGCTGTAAAAACTGTCGAAACATGTTGGAATAATGGATGACGCTTCTCTCTGTGAATTTCTATAACTGAACTATTTGATTCAACAAGTATCTATGGAAACCACAAATACTATTGTGTGTACGTTAGCCAATAAAATTAAACTGAAATATTCACTTGCATGTCCTCTTGTTAAACTCTGTTCTTGGATGTCTAATTAGAATAAAGAGATATTGTAATTGGGCAATGTATGTACATATGTAGTCAGTATTCACAAGCTTATTAAATTTCCACTGTTAATTGACATTTGTTTCTGATGGGAGAATCAAGAATGAACCTATGTTAACATTAATTAGTTAAAAACAATTTTCGAGGGCAGTGTTCGTTCTTTCGTAATGCGTAAGACAGGGAGCATCAATTATTTAAGTAGGATAGAAACAGCTTACTACGTGCCACCAACTTTGAGAATTGTTTCATAATTTCCTTATACGTACTATGAAAGCATGACGACCGAAGAGGTATTAGACAGAAAGGGTGATATACAGACACGGAATGTGTAACAAGGATAGACAATTTCTTAGATTCCTGGCTTTAGCCGCGAATTCCGCTGTTTTTCGGCTCTTGGTGTTGGGAAGACAGAATAACCGAGGAGGTTTCAGGAGTTCCAAGGATCGTAAGACAAGGAGCATTAATTGTGCACACAGGATAGAGGTAGCGTACTACATGCCACCAACTTTGAGAATCATTTCATAAGTTCCTGGTATATACTATGAAAGCATGGCGACCGGATATGTATTAGACAAAGAGGGTAATACACGGACATTGAATGTGCGACAAGGATAGACAATTTCTGAGATTCCGCGCTTCAACCACAAACTTTGCTGTTTTTTGGGCTGTAACCTGTAACGTTACGAACACAGAATAACCGAGGTGGTTTTAGACAACATTTGTTAATTCGTTTAATGACGCAGAGGCAGTAAAATTCCCGTGAAATTCAATAACTTAAAACGCTCTATGTAATCTCTGGTAATACAATTCCTCCGAAATTCGAATCGTTAAATTCTGAGTTAATATAGGAAGGAATTATTTTTATCAAGGTGGAGTCAGGAATTGACATAGGAATTAAAATAGAAGTGAAACGCTCATACAATTTACAATAGTATTTGTATAAATTTAATAACATATGACCTAAATACTATTTATATAGACAATATACATACATACATAACAATAATTTAAGTATACATATGTACATACGTACATACAACTCACTTTGCATATTTTGGAAACTGTATTGTTGGTCGGTAACGTTAAAAAAAAAAAAATACATACCGATCGACTGCAGCCCTCTACCAGAATTCTCGGTTAGCTAGGTCGCCCAGTGTCGCCACAATATATCGATGAATCAGTTGCTTTGACATTTTAAGTGACGGCTAATAACAATTAAGATTATTTAATTTCTAACCACTGTTTCCGACTTAATAAAATGAACAGACTTTTCGGACGTGCAAAACCTAAAGAACCACCACCAAACATTACAGACTGTATCGCTGGGGTAACTATTAGATTTCGTCGTGATACTAAAGAGGTTACGTTATCATTTTGCGTAATTTTCTGTGTACTTACTTATTATTGATGTCTCTTAAAGGTTGACAGCAGAGCTGATTCCACGGAAAAAAAGATAGCAAAATTAGATGCGGAATTGAAGAAATACAAAGATCAAATGGTAAAAATGAGGGAAGGTCCTGCAAAGAACGCAGTGAAAGCCAAGGCAATGCGCGTTTTAAAACAACGAAAAATGTATGAAGCCCAAGTAGATAATTTGCGTCAACAGGCATTTAACATGGAACAAGCAAACTATGCTACTCAAACTTTGAAAGACACCCAATCAACCGTAGTTGCTATGAAGGAAGGAGTCAAACAGATGCAAAAAGAATTTAAGAACATCAATATAGATCAAATTGAGGTATGCACAATAAAATGTTCAGTCTCTCGTAAAACATTCCTTTGCTTTGTACCCGTGTTTCGGATAATAATTGCATACCACAGGATCTCCAAGATGATTTAGCCGACATGCTGGAGCAAGCGGATGAAGTACAAGAAGCGTTGGGTCGTAGCTATGGAATGCCAGACATAGATGACGACGAATTAGCCGCTGAACTAGAAGCCCTTGGAGATGATTTGGCTATAGACGAAGACACGAGTTATTTAGACGACGCCATAAAAGCGCCTAGTGCTCCCGACAAAGAACCTGGCGCAAGTTCAGTGAGAAACAAGGTACATATTCATGAATGGTACACATAGAGCCCAAGAAAATTTTACACATATCTCGATAATATAAACGTTAAACTTTCTCATGGAAAATTAGAACGAATAATTATAATGAAACGTAATTCTTTTCTTTTTTGTAGGATGGTGTTTTGGTGGATGAATTTGGTTTGCCACAAATACCGGCTAGTTAAATCCGTAATGTAAAATACTTCTGCGATATAAGGTAATGTTATGATGTCCAAAGACGTTAAGTTCTGAAAAGATACTAAAATAATTCATGCAGCCGTATACTTTATACGACGTACTAAGTATTCGAAATGTTGAAACTTAGCGATACAAACTTTCGCAAGCTATGTCTTTAAGAATTAATACCACTTTGTTATTGTCAATGTACAAGCTATTATTTTTAATAAAATGCGCTTACGTTGTAAATGTGTAAATCGAGTTAACAAAATAAATTCATATTTTTAAGCGTGTAGTTATACATTAGAACGTAATTAAATTACCTGTAGTCTAGGAACATTAATTTGCTTTTGCCTTTGTAGTTCTGTGTACTGTGTAATTAGGTTTGCAATTGACTCTTTGCTATCGAAAAAATGAGCTTCTTCAAAGCCCTGTACTTGCGTGTAATGATGCACATGTGCCTGTAATATAATTCTGTCATTACATGTGTTGAGTGTACATAATACGTGTGTAAAAATTTTACCTTCCTCCTATATAATGTTCTAAATTGTTCTACAATATTTGTAAATAACGACGACATCGCGGAAGAGTTTAAGAGGCACAAAACGGAGGCTGAATGACCAGCGGGGGGTATGGAGCACAAACCTATTTTCATAGCTTCCTTACTCCATGCCGTGAAATTAACTTTATCTTGAAATCTGTTCAAATAAGAGTCGTTTTTTCATTGATTGTCGTAATAATCGAGTTAGAGTGGTTTCCAGTTGGATATTCCTCCGTGAAACAATCACATTTACGTTTTAGCTATACTTTGATAAGAAGGATGTTTCAGTCGCAACATAAACAAGTGGGTAGGATACCTTTTTATGTTTCGCTTTAGATCGGTCACAGAACAATTCCCTCTTGCAATATGGGCGCCGCTAAAAATTACTGAACCAGGCTGCTGTGGATCTATTTTGATCAGTCGATTGCTTCGTAACCATAGATTGGTGAACAATTCGTCTTGTAGCCTTAAAAATAACAATGAATGGTTTTTTCTCCTGTCAGATTGCTATTAAAACCTGATACATACTTTGTTCCTTGCATTGTCGATGCCGTTAACGCTATTGGACTAACGCTGCTGTATATGTAATGTAGTTTTGGATATGCTACAAGATTCGTTGCTATTTCATTCATATCCATGTTTAAGGTGCCGGGAAATCGAGACCCACTACACATCGAATTTTTTTATAACGCTCGCTCGGGTAACAAGACTTTTGGGACTATTAATTACCTAGTTAAGTGAAGAAGCATATTTACAACAATACTATTCATGTCATGAAATGGTCTGCACGAGACATTGTAATTTATTTGATCCATGTTTTCCCTTTTCTTTGATTGCAATGTGCATATTTCCATCAACGATGTATTATCGGCAGGAAATACGCATGTTGCATGCTCTAAAAGTTCTCGTGTCGCTAACAGCGCATTGTATGGAGCAGTGACAACATCTTGCATAAATGTTGGATATATGCAAGATACCAATCTGTAACATTATAACTATTCACATTATGCAAATAATTATTAAAGTTAACACATTGTTGATGCATACACATAGATTTTTGAATTTTAAAAGTACCTATCTATTCTAGGATAATAATCAGCTAGTAACTTCAAGGTGGCTGTTCCTAAACCAGAGCCAGTACCACCTCCTACAGAATGCATAATTAAGAAACCATGCAATTGACAACACTTTTCTACCATACGTCTTATAGCATTCTCTAATTTCTCGTAATATCTTGTACCATGATCATGATAGCCTATAGCCCTACAAATTAGATAAATTAAATACTTATTTGTTTTACAGTTGCCCCACTAAGTGGATAATTCTAGATACAAAACGTAAGGAAAAGTTTACCAATTATTTGCAGATCCTGGATAACTTGACACCATAGAAGTTTCTTCATATAAATCTTGCAAACTGCTTCTTTTTAATCCTGCTATTACATTATCTTCCATATCGATTAATATTGCCTATACAATAAGAAATTTACACATACATATTAATTCTAGATTGAGAGAAAATTTTATGTATTTAAGCAAGTTTAAAGTAAGGCTTATACCCTAGCTTTCACTTTAGCTTTTTTTAAATCTGTGATAGTCTTCAGGCATGAAATGTTTGAACTATCAGGTACCAAAAAAAAACTATGAAATGTGTCCAACACTTCATTTATGTTTTTAATACTACTTTGTTGGATTTTAAGTAGATTTGTTCCGCTAGTTTCAGTCTGTATACCATACTCGTGTAAAGCCAAAGGCCAAAAGGCAGAACCAATTTGATTCCCACATTGTCCAACTACAATTCATAGAATTTGAAACATTTTTTCATAAGATTCCTTCATATATCATTCTTTAATTATGACCAAATATAACTGTTATTAAAATACACTGAAATTTATTTGTAAAGAAAATTGATAGTAAGAAATACTTTTACGACAAAATTGCCACAAGTAGATGACAGAACACGTACCTTGTACTGTAATAAACTGACTCATTGAGAATTTGTATAAATATTTTTGAATTTCTCGTATTTATCTATATTGTAGTTCAATGATGTGACAACGATTTATTTTGAACTCAATCAAGCAATCGTAGCTGTCCAATTTGATCCCACGTGAAGTTAGGAAACAGAAGAAAAAGAAAAACTTTTGTTTAAAGTCCTGTGGACGTAACACAATATTCTAATGAAATCTTTTCTGATAATAATTGGAGATACTTAATTTACGCTCCTTGAGCTTTAAATTTAGTGTTTGTCAATGCCTGTTGAAGAACAAAGCTGTTCGTATAACGCTATAAGCGTATATAACAGCATATAAGCGTAATCGAAACATTTATGGAATAACGTTTGCCGCTCTCTCCGCAAGTTCGAAAAGAATGCACACACATTCATACCTAAATATATATGTATATAGCGGCTAATGAACAGTGTATCAATTGGCTACCGGTTGAGACGTTCGCTACGAATGGCGCTACTATTCACTTTTCCCCGCTGTTTTCGCGGGGCTAAATGATTCTTGCCGCAATTTGTATACAATATACGGAAAAGAACGGCACACATTATTCAAAAATGTTTCACCTATAAAAGTACTTACATCTCTATATATCCTTATACCTCGCTGTGAAATGACGTCACCGTCTTCGTTACATTTATGATTATTTATTACTAAATTAAATATTAATTAGAAATGTTACAAGTAACAATCGTCGATACTCAGGGATTCTGATCCACTAATTCTATAAACGTGTTTTACATATTTCTCAAGATACCTTACGTGCCATTGATTATAACAGCATAAGAGAGAACTCAATTATTTGAACCTGCGGTGTAGACGGTGTAGATATCTGTAGATACCAGTAGATACCGGGTGTACTCAAGTCTCCGTGTTTCACTGTGTTCTCAACAGTTCTCAATTCCGGTACACGTTCTGTAGGCGGCTGTAAACAGCTGTAAATAGGTGTTTAATCCAGCCGTGGTTGCTATCGTTTGAAGTGATTTTTAAATAAAGCAGTTATAAAAAGAAATATGGCGTACGTATTTTGTTCGGTAAATGTTGTTCAAGCAGGTCAATATTTACACAAAGTAGCACATCAATTAATATTGTATACACATTTTAGTAACCATATGTTTGGATATTGTTTGTAGTTTCTCTTGACTGTTTTTCAATAGCTGGTGATAAAAGTCTGAATTTGTTACAGGTCCAAAGTTACTTTTAAAATAACTCTTACTTCTGATCCAAAACTACCATTTAAAGTGTAAGTTTAGTCACCAATGTAACTAATTGATTATCATTTAAGTGGACTAATGCGTGATACGTATTATTATGTCAGAATTAGATATACTTGAGGTATTGAAAATGTTTGACATATTCCTTGCACTCTTAGAGAATCCTACAGTGAGTAAAGATCTAAACAATGATAATGTTGCAAAAGCCTTTCAATGTGCTCAATTTATTGAATCTACAATTGCTAAGGCACATGAAATTGGCAAGGAACATATTCTTGAGAATCATCTACATAATTACTGGTTAAAGGAGAATAGATTGAATTTATATAAATGTTCTGACATGAAGAATGCTTGTGATAAATTCTTAGAAGTCTGTTTGAAAGATGTTAATGTTCCACGAGACACTGTTGACAAACTGTTAAAATTATATATCCAGTATTGTGGTTATGACAGATTAAATGATTTTCTTAGATATACAATGATTAATGGAATTTGTACGAACATAGTCATAGACTCATTTCAAAAGTTAGGAGTATCGGTTTTTGACATGCAGAATGAAGCTTTAATCTTGTCTTGGGAATTATCAATTAATAATGGCAATCAATATGAAGTATTGGAATGCATACAGAAAATGTTTGATAATGGTTTTCATTCAACACTAATTCATTTTGCTGCCAATTTACATAACAGTAAAATTAAGCAGTTAATAGTCGAGCAATTATCAAACAAACTTGTGGAAAACAATGTGAACATTTGTTTAGCTCTTGTGAATGTAGATAAGAAATTACTTTGGATGTTAATGCAAAGCAATTTGGAACTTTATACCAACTTTCTTGATGCTGTATTCTACTTTGCACGTCATATGAAACAAGTTCAGCATCATTGGATATCAAATTGTGAATTTGAATATGAGCATCTTCTCAAAGTAGTCGAAATGTTATTAAATGGTCCTAAGAGAATTTCAGACATAATATATAACAGAGTACAATTAGTTAAAACACATCCGAATGGTACAATATGGCATAGAGTCGAAAAAAATATTGAATGGTAATAGCATAATCTATTGCACATTTACAGTTGTTAAAATTAAAAGAATATTCAATAATATGCATGCCTATGTAGTTGACAATAATTTAAAATTGTGTAATTAGTATTTATTTAAATTAATAAATACTATGCACTTACAATTATAGACTTAGTGTGCCAGATAATACACCGTTCACTGCTGTATTGAAATTTGCTGCTGAAGAATTTAAAGTATCACCATCTACATCTGCTATAATTACAGATGATGGAATAGGTATCAATCCCCAGCAAACAGCAGGTGAATATAAATAAAATCTGATAATATAACAAGTTGTAAGAATGGTACATTAATTAACTTGATTTCAGGAAACGTTTTTCTTAAACATGGATCTGAACTTAGACTAATCCCCAGAGATCGTGTTGGATGTAGTAGATGATTTACAAAAGTCACTATCAAATAAAATGAATGATGACACATCTTTTTGAATTGTTCATCCAAGTATGGATTATTTTCTAAGATATTAAATTAAGATTTGTAAATTAGTACAGGAACACAACAACTTTTTCGTATGAAATACGCTATCTGTCAGCTGATAAATATAAATAAAAACATTCCTAAAGTTTTATCAAATTTTATAAATCATGTACTGAATTCTAAGTAATTGTATGAGAAATCTTAATGACTTTTAAATATACACGATATATAGTGATAAATGTGTACAAAAGCAGTATGCATCTTTGATAAAAAGGTTTTATAGGTGAAATACATGTAAGAGGTATAAGGTCGATACAAAGGTATGTTATTACATGATAAAATTACTTCGCGATCAGTCATAGCGCAATATTTAACACCGAAAAACTTATTGTTCCAATTAAAATTAATATTATCGACGAGATCTTTAGATTGCGTGCTACGAAAGATCACATACAATTATTGGGAGGGTCTATAAATCTACTGTTGCAATAAAAAGGAAACTCACAGAGTAAAATGTTAAAATACAATGTTCTTGAGAAGTATCATAAGTTGAAGACAATTTTCTTTTATTCTCCTGTTAATGTTTTCAATTGTTGACTTGTTTAATTCGAAAGATTATAAAAAAAGAATTACATAAATATCATTTACAGTTTATGATCACTTTTCAAGATATGATTCTCGCGAGGTACTACATGTATCTGGCTTTTAATCAAGGAATTATGTACGAATTTACGGAAAGTAAAATGAAAAAAAGAATATGATTATTAAAATATGCAACTATGATGTTTCTCAGTTCTATAATAACCGACGGATGATTAGTTGCATATACAAACTTCAATTATAATACGGACGACGCAAATGGCAGTTAAATCTTTTCCGTTTCGTAGTGAAATATTAATTTGTTCCTCTTTCTACTCACGAGGCGTATAAAAATTCAGTCAATATACGTGACTTGTGTGAAAAAGTCTTATGTTTCTAAAACATTATAAAACAGTGTGATTGTATGTAGAGAAAAATATGCACAACTTTTTAGATATAGTACTTAGAGATGGTCTATTCACGTCTACTATGTAGAGAACTTAATTCATAAGCTTTTCACGTTTACTTAATAACGTCAAACTGTTTTGATACGTCTTTCACTAATGTGTGACTTAATCTGTTTATAAATATGATGAAATACAAAAAGGGACTGTTACTTTAAACTGTTGAGCAAATTCCGTGATCAATTCTATCTAGTGATGAGACCGACAATCAATTACTGTAAATTTAATGATTACATACACAAAAAAAAGGGTACATCTACTCTAACAATTCCTTTACAAAGTATTAAATTATTATGCTCACAACTTATCATTGTAGTTTTTACGTTTGTTTCTTTCCTTTTTTCTAATATCGTTATTATTTATTGTTATTATCGAACCAATTGTCAACCATTACCAATACATGTCGACTTTTGATAAATGGAGTTGTAACTAAATGAGCATTAAGTTTGGTGTAATTGATATGTATCGATTTGACAGTCGTATGTCACAAAAAGTCTCAAACATAATAAATAATAAATCTAATTGATGTAGAAAAGTATCAATTCCAAATGTAAAATCTATTAATAGTGTTCAAAGAACGTCTCAGTCCCATCACTAATTCTGTTCTTTTATCAAGAAAAATACGTATTTTTTACTTTCATTGGCAACTACGTACATACTAGGATTCGTCAAAAGGGCATAGCACCATCGGGTTAATTTTTACATATAAAGAAAAAATTACGAAATTGAAATATAAAAGTATAAAGTGTGCGTGATTCATACATCAAAGCACGAATTCCATGTTTAAAGCCAAACATGTTACGAATTTGTTTACCAAACTGGAGGGAACAACCGTACAAAATTGATCTCAATCATACAAATAGGAACCACGAGCACATTTTTAATAGATACGAAAAACTATAATTAGTTAAACTATGTTACCGTATTAATAAATGATCTATCTAAATCGAGTGGAATGCATTTTGTACAAAATTTTCTAAACGTATTGTTTTATGGAGATAGGAAATTAGTCTCATATAGATGGTAAACTATGTGCTAAAACATTATGGTACATCATACGGGAAAACTATTTATCTTTGAATCTAAAGTGTTCCCTTTAAACAATTATCGTTCTTTATCCTCCGGTAAATGTGGAATTCGTATTTTAACGTTCTGATCGCAGTCGCACAATGAATTAGAAAACTGTTTCACGTTTATTACACCTCCGGTGAATATTCTGCTTGTCGTTTTTTCTTTTTCTTACAAATATTTTGTGGTAATTTATAGAGTATAAAAGTTGATTTTATTCACTAGATTCGAGTTGGGAAAGCGTTGAATCAGTCATCTTCTTGTATAGTTCGCCGTATAACTTAAACCTGAACTTTTACAATTTAATACGGTGTACGTCTTTAATTATTAGTTTATCTTGTATAGTATGTGCGTGTGGTTATTATGAATTATAGTAAAAACTCCTATCCTTGATTCATGGAAAAAGTGTCGTTCTCTAATATCACACGTATGATGATTACAATACCATAATGTATACATTGAGATTATCATTAATGATGTTTTGTCGTTTAAAGAAAGATTCGTGGCACTAACAGATCTCTATGTATAAATTACTTAATATCATTTCGTCGACATTGATCTTTAGAAATCGTAAATATTATCACTTAACAGTAGAAACGAGCAATGTTTGTCCAAATACTGTATATATATGGTGATCGATAATTATTCTCTTATAAGTTTTTTCGTTCAAATATTATGCTATTTCTTTTAAGGAAGAAAAAAAGTATGAAGAACTATAAATAACTAATAGAACTACCATAGCGAATAATCAGTATAGAGTATACGTTCAAGCAATGCCCATTTCTGGTTAGTAATATAAGATAATTTTCTGTATTCCTGAACTATAAATGGCACGTACCCTTGCGTACGCGTTTTTTATAATAAATAATATATGCTAGAACATTTCTTATGAATAAAAAATAAAAACTACTTAATGAATACGTTTCCATTCGATCGGTTTAATACTGTACCACAGATTTCGAGATTACTTAGACGCTTTAAAACATGCCACCCCTTAAATATGTAGCGAAACTATTGTCAAATTCTGATAGATTTTTGTTGTTTTAAACCTCTAGTACAGTTCCTATCGATAATTATCCTATATAATTATTTTTAGTACCAAGCAACTCATAAAATAACAATTAAGAAAAAATACTCATATCAGGGACTGTTGCTATTATTTTTTTCTTTTTTACAGACACATTTTCGGACTCCGAGAAATATTAAGAGAATTTTACTGCGAAGCTGAATGATTTTTTTATTATTCAGTCCTTTGCTCTTAAAATAATTTGATACAACAATCTGAATAATTGTATCTACGAAAAAATTACCACAATTCAAGAAACCGCACACATACTGTCAGTTCTTTCGGAATGGGGAAATTTTTGGAAACGTTAATTCCAGCTATAAATATCTCTTACCACGTTCACATTATTACCGAAACACTTTCGCTTATGCCGTGGTTTTTAACTTAGAAATAAATTACGGTTTGACCAGTTACATATAAATTCACATTATCTTACCGCTTTATTTAAATGACCTACCCCGCTGCGCCATCTTCACTCATCCTGCAATTAAAATTATTTTTTTAAAAGAATGAAGACGTCTTATAGATTTTGAGTCAAGAATAGATTATTGTATTGCCTCTAAACAAATGAAATAGTGGAAATTAACTTGTTTATGTTTATGTTTTTAAGAAAAGTTACATACCCATTCGTGCTCCTCCACACCTTCCATGTGATCTTGTTCCAATGAGCACTGTATTACATCGCCCACAAAGTTGCTCATAGTTTTTTGGATCTATCATACACACATTAAACGATACGCTCAGACAAAATACAATACGAATGTATTTATACGTTGAATATCACAGGAGCCGATGTGAAAATAAAAAGTAGATAGCAAATAGTAGAATTGTTCGATATAACTTTATAGGGGATGCTTTAAATTATGTTTAAAAATTTTGGCAATTAAAACGAGAATGAACCAGACTATGCAGAAAACACGTGACAGAGTATTATAATTTTAGTGTTAGATGTTGATTTACCTCTTCTTGTTTGGCTTTCACATCAGGATTCCATCCAAGTCTGGTAAAGGGTTGTGAAGATACAGAGAATGTGGTTGTTTGAGAATGTTTTGCTGAAACTGGTGCAGTTACCACTCCTTGACCTTGATTTTCAGTTACTACATACATAAATATATATAAATAAATATATATTAGAAATAAATTCTAGTCAAAATTCTTATTTCATACTTTGCATCAATCTACTTACAGTTGTCCATTCCTGGTGGCTTTAGACTTATTCTATAAGCTTGTTTGTTGGCCCCATTAAACCATTCAATAGCCGTCATGGTTGGTTTCCATGTAACTTTCGTTGGTGGAAATAAATCATCTTGGAAAAGTTCACTCTAAAATAATTAATGAATATTAGAGCATTCCTTTTTATATTTTGATTTAAGAATACATTAAACAGACCTTTATACGAGGTACAGTGAAACTTAAAGGTTCTATTGTGTTGTTTGTCAATCTTAAAGCAGACGCGAATTCTACACTAGCAACGTCACACTTGTTTTTAGGAAGGAAAGACAATCCTTGGTGTAAACTACTACATCGATGATGACTGAGAGGACAGCAGTAGGGAGGTTCTTCAGTCACTTCGAAAGCATATATTGTAGAGTCACCCTAAAAGCATATTATGTACTTAGTGAACAAGTTTTCCTTGTCATGTCTCAAATTTTTCTACACCACAGGCCAGGTTTACAGAATAAATTTATAATGCTATTGATAATGATGGACTTACGCGTCCCGTTAAGAAAAGGGTTGAGCTATCTTCATCGTAGTATGGCATTAAAATAGCAGGCGACACGTCTAACCCAACTGTGGTTAATGGATTATTAAGATTGTCTGTTTTAAATACGTATATCTGTCTCTCGGATACTCTAAAATAAATCACATTAAGTGAAAAATAGGCAAAACAAATCTTTTTAATTATACGGTATTTGGAATTTTCATATGGTGCTACATGAATTGTACTACGATTTACATACTTGTCGAAACCCATCACAACCAGAAATTGTCCTTTTAATGCCCAAACCACTCGTGCACCTCGTGTACCAACTGGTCCTTTTCCAGACTTAACTGGTGCATCCGTAGATCTTGGTTTATACATTCGGAATTTCCCATCTTTGCACGTACTTGCCAGATATTGTCCACAAGGGGACCATGCTAAACTGAAAATCTGATCAGTGTGCCCAGTCAATATTACTTTTGCAACTGCCGTCTCGCACGACGAAAGCAAGGACAAATCCCAAATTTTTACAGTCATGTCATAGGACGCTGACGCTAGAACGTCCGATGCCAATGGATGAAATTTAATTAAATATATTTTGTCGGTATGAGCTTTTATTATATTCTTTGGTTCATTCGTCGGTTCTGACAGTCCAGACTCTGGAATCTCCCACAGTCGAATCATTCCATCGTCACAGGCTGTTAAGAAATGATTATTACTCGATGTACAAAGGATGGTATGTATGAGTGCTGTACTTGTAGTCTTACCAACTGCAAGTCGCTGATTGTTGAATGGATTCCACTGGAAATCCATTACAGTTGTGCCGTGCACCAATGCTGGCATCACACCATCAGGCAGTCTTCCGGTTTTTTTCAGTTCCAAAACTGCTATCTTTCCACCTGGTCCACTTAATGGTACAGCCACACGGTCAGGATTGGCTGCAATTAATCAAGGACCAACAGAAACAAAATTATGTCATCAGGCATAAGAAAGAGAACCTAAAAATAATTATTTACCGTGAAAGCCATCGCATTCCCCGGATATCTGCCTACTAATATTCCTTATGTTTTCAATATGCGTAGTCTTGTGCCCAGGTGTGCCTTTCAAGTGTCTAAACTTTGATACTCTACCTGCACTCAACAACAAATATTTTTTAGTAAAAACATAGAACATACTGAATTATTTGTTTCACGCTATGTGCCATGGCCATACCAAATACGGTTGATGTCCTTTTAGCAGTCGCTGTCGCGTTGTCTTTTTCCAATCTAGGATCCATGCTCTGTTGACGCAACATCGGAATGGCTTTCTTCACTTCATCTTCTTTAATCACGTCGCTCTTGGTCTTGAAGGATTCTCTACGCCTTAGCATTGTTGGAGAACCCATTGCCTTTTCTGCCAAGTTACCGTCAGTTACGGAAACGGAACGACTTTCATATAATCGCCGCCGTTCAGCAATGGAGTTCCTATTGGCATTTCCACGTTCGAAATTTCCTGGCTCTTCACTCTCAGGCGAGACATCCTTAACTTTGATTTCGAACACTTTACGTCTTTCTGCAGTGCTCGGTGTTTTTGGCTTGTAGCCTGAATCACTAGAATTCGCATCTTCTTCCAACGAACTGGAGTCGCTTTTTCCATTCTCTGTTTCCTTAATGCGCTCATTATTGAAGGACGGGGACTTCTCGGATTCCGCGTTATTTTCTATCTGACTATTTATGTCATTCTGATAACCATTAGTGTCACTGCTGGGTGCAATAGGCACCGAGAAGATCTTGTCGAACGAGAACTCTTGGTTACCCGATTTTGCTTGGAACGGCTTTGGTCCAAGTCGAGGCTAAAAACACGAGAAACATTAAAAATTTTCTATGACGAATAAATTTCTGTTCACGATGTGATCATTTATGATACTAATGAGACAAACGAAATGGAATATTCCTGCACACAATATCATCACACATACAGAAGTAGAACATTGTTTCCTCAAAACTATTAGGTTCTTGTATAGCCAAATTACAACCTTATATCCCCCAATCGCATTAGGATTCACAGATGTAACTACTGAGCCCGGATTCGGCGATGAACGTGGCCGTGCGACTGGCTTCGGTTCATCCTCGGAAATACTATTAGTTCTTGATGCTCTTGGCAAAGGCTTCGGTGGGATAGTTTGTCCTCCATTTTGAACCCTGGGTTTATCCTCTTCACCTTCCACTCTCTTAGGTTCTTCTATCTTCTCCACTTCATTTTCAGGCGTTGATTCCTTCTCGTTCACTCCCTGACCTTTTGCATAGCCCTTAGGTAGGGTAATGGACATGGGCTTTGGTTGTTTCTGTGGTTCCACTTTTATTTCTCGCTCATTCTCTTTCAGAGTGGTTAAGTTTCCCTTGTGTATCTAAAGGTACGGTAAATATTCCTTAATGAGGGAAACCGTTTAAACTGAAGTATCAAAGTCCAAGTTTCACTTTTAACATTCTATTTCTACGCGTTTGGAATTTATGGTAAAAACACCAAAAGCTGCGCAATCTTTGCAAGCTTTTTACACATACATCCACATTATTTGCATGATAAAACATCTCTCAAGATGATGGTACAAGTACATGACATTCTGTTCAAGACTTATCTTATTCTTATGTGGAATATGAGAAATTTAAAAGTACATACAAAAAAAAGAGCATCAAAACGGTTTTGCCAAATGAACATACAAATAGCTACAGTTCACACTTCATACTTAAGATTACTTACGCTGACAGAATAAGCTACAGAACATCAATTGCCATATAAATTACACGTGCCAGGAATAACGTTTTGAATGGTGCTAATGCATAAACTATAAAACATACATTGGATATCTGAAACGTGAAAAAATATACACAGAACATAAAAAACCAAAATGTAATAATGCAACGTAAAACAATATATTATTGACTAAGACTTGATTTTTGCTTTAAAAGAAGTGTAAATGTTCTGTATAATACATTCATAGTACGAAAGTATGTTCTACTTCTATATTACTGTATAAAGTTTCTGTTGGATAGCAACATATCAGAAAAAATGAAACAGCTTTCAATGTGCGAGATTCATACTTTCTAATACTTTGCTATCTTTGATTTACCATGTTTTACTGCTAACAGAAATTAATTATAAACAAATAATCAACTAAAATATAAAACGATAATATCTAAAACATCACACAACATATGTAAAAAAAATGTTTTAAAAATTTCCGAGTTGTCAACGAACGCCAAAAATAATGAAATGTAACAATAATGATGATAAGCGTGCAATTTCATATTTCGTATAATTGTAAATGACAAAAATTCTATTGAAATACATTTTATGGTCACAAAATGGTAACTTATTTTTAAAACTACTTCACAGTATAAGGATTTCAAAGCTTAAAAAAATGCAATGCTTATACAAAGTGCCTTTACTTACAGTAATGGATTCTTCTCCCTTATTCCTTTTGGTGGGATCTAGGGATATCTTTGGAACAGGCATATTATGGCCTTTTATCCAAGCTGCTGCATTGTTTTGTGCAATACAACCTGTTGTATCAGGGTATATATCTGCATGGAAGTCTCTGTATGTCTACAAAAAAGTATAAGTTATAATATAATTAACAATGTAATATGGAAAACGCGAAAAGATCACTTACTTTTCGTGGAACCTGATACATGATAGGTATCACCATATTCGAAGTGAGCTGCAATAATCTATTAACTTCTGCTTGCATAACGTTCAGTGCTCGTTTTGGCACTAAACATACACCTTTAGTTTGCTCTCCACTATGGCGAATTCCTTCGACCAAGAATGGATCCTTATCCATGACTTCCATGTACATAATAGTAGTGTCCCCTTTTCCAGCAAGGAAAAGCATGTTCGTGTCAGGATCAAAGAGAGGCATTAAAATTCTATAAATTATGATGTCGAATTATTATTTGGACGAATTATTAACAAAAATATTATACTGCTCAAGCCTTACCCAGTACTACAGTCCAATTCTAAGGTCTTCACAGGTTCGCTCAAGTGTCTCAAGTCCCTTATGTAAACTTGTCTAAGTCTCGCCGCGTCAAACCCTGTGGTTAGTATCCTATCGCTATTGTTTAACCAAACAATTCTAGAATCTTTAATACTTTGGTGACTTGAGCAAGAATTCACAATACAAGTGGAGGCACGGGGATCCATAATCCTCACTTGTTTATCTTTGCAGGATGTTGCTAAGAGTATGCCATCTTGTTTCCAACTCAAAGACTGAATGACTTCTGTGTGTTCGTTATTGGCTGCAGTACGAAGAAAACAATATTAAAGAAATTCAATTTACTGATAACTAACCAATTCATAAGAAACTATGTTTTCATTACAGAATAATTCTTGTTGTGAAATCACATCCCATAAAGACAAGTTTGTGTAAGACACTGTTGTCAGAAGGTGTTCAGCTGTAGGGTGCCAACATACTGCTTCAACTCTTCTCTGACGATGGGAGAATGTACATTCAGGATTGCACAAAGATTCTTCTAAACCAGTTTCTGGAATATACCACAGCTTGACCTATAATACAAGAAATTGTCACAATAAAATATACAATGCAATTTAGAATAGTTATAACTTACAAGGCAATCTTGGGATCCAGTGGCCAATAGACCATCATGAAAGGGTGAAAAATCCATATCTGTCACTGTATCTGCATGAGCATGAAGTAAAGGCATAGTTTTACTCTTTCTACCGCAATCTTCTAAAGGTAACACAGCCAGATTAGATCCTAAAAAATATAAATAAAAGATAATTGGATATACTGTGACAAATGTGTGAAAATTATAGAACTAAAACATACCATTATGATCTACATTAAATGCCATGAAAGCAGCAGATGCAGTAATGTTGTTGCCATAGGTTTGATAGGATCCAACTGATATATCTCGAATACAAGCTTCTGGTTTAGGCACAATAGGAGCTGCATTTTTGTATTTAGATGCTTTGAAACGCCAAGCCATTTTGACGTTCTTACAAATGTAATCTTAAGGTAAATTTCTCCTTACACCATGTAATCTAATAAAAAATATAGAATTTAAATGAATAATTTCTTACTCCTTGTTTTGTAAAAGTAATTACTTTATATCACTGTAAGGACAGTGAAAAATGTAAATGAGAATACATTTGTTTTTGATTGTTAGTTTAATTTACATGATAATCTGAATAGTTGATGTTTTATGATGAAGTTTAGAAAACAACGCTTGCGAGTGGTATCGACACTGGTGGAAAGCTGTGCATGACTAATAATTTGGGGGTGAGAACCACCCCACCCTTAATCGTCGAACACCGTCGTAAGTAATAACAATGACAGTGAAATAGAATCTCTTACGAACGGAGAAACAAACAAGCATAATCGTGTTACTCACTTGTCGCAACCTGGCGTGCCTTCGCACGCTTTTCACCAAATATTATCACGAAATAAAATCGAACGAGTAACAATCAGCCAGTATAAACACACGATGGCAGGTAGGCGTCTCTGATACTCTGATCCCGACGTCTGACAGGCGGAAACAGGAAGACCCCCCTCCCGTGAACCTCTTCTATCTCTGTCGATCATGAAGTGAACATACAGAGTGTTACTTAAGAAAAGTGAATGGTAATACCATCTCGCGGTCAGCCGGCGAACTACTAAATTAGAAAATTGTGATTATCTCGGTAATTAGTCGCTCAAAATTAAAATCGTTCCTCTGAAATTATTCCTTATTACTCAGTGCGTCGAATCCACACCACAGAACCCCATAATTAATGCGTTTTATAGGTCTTTGAAAACAGACCTGTGACGAGGATAGAAACACTATAACCATCTGGCAGCGAAACGGTGTAACTAAAATTAAAATCGTCAAACGGAGCCCAGAGACAGCCGCGATTAAGTGTCATTTTAACAATGTTGTAATTATTTTTTGTTACTATTGGTGAGAGGGGATTAATCTACGCTCTCTAAGCTCCAAATCTAGTGCGTGGTGAAGAAGAAAGCTATACGTGTAACGTTATAAGGGCTGACGAAACATGTTGTAATAATGTTTGCCTCTCGTAGGTAGCCAAAGTGTCAATCGTCGTGGAATAGTTGGAGTGATAGGCATGGAAAAAGTTTGTTCCTGTCGCGGATACGTGACCGTTCGTTTCAATTAGCTTAAATATCCTAACTGCATAAACTTTATACATTCACATACCAAATGTATGTAGTTGTATGTTTCAACAGGTTCTTACGGTTTTAATCTCAGGGTATAATAGTATTTGCCAGTATTTGCAGGAACCACCATCGTTGCTGTAGTTATTGGACAATTATTTAAATAAAAAACAATAAAGTGGTATGGTATAGATACATTCCTTATTATTACCATCACTACCTTCATTCCAATTTCTACGTCATTTTCTGATTACATCCTGTTTAAAATTAATTGCCTCCTGTGCTAACACAGAATTTTCTTCATTTCGTTTTTATATATTCGCGGCATTTTGAATGTTTCTTGTCTAAAACCTCCTCGATTATTTTGTTTTCCTAATACCAAGGGACGAAAAGCAGCAGAGTTCGCGGCTGAAGCAAGGAATCTCGGCAAGGAAGCTTCAGCCGTTATGCTTTCATAATATGTATGTCGACTGACCCACAGCCCACAGTACCCTACCCTACACCCTTACGGCTGATCGCGCTATCCGTGGCAAATAGCTCAAACTGGTAGACAAGCTGTTTCAGCCGAATACCGCGAGATGGTGCCACCGCCAACTTTTTTCGCGCCATTTTTGAAGCACGTTAATAATTCGTATATTATTCGGCAATGTTTCAATTTCGTTTACAGCGTCATACGGACAGCTTTACCGTCACCAAAGCTCTAGATTTGAATCTTAAAATACGTAGATTTGTCCCAACTATTTATCAAGAAACAGTAATCGCGAGAACATAGTTAAATGTGCAATTGTTTGCAACTATGTAAACTAAATGAAACAATGTTTATACTCTCAACCATTTATTTTAGTCTTGCTGTTCTCTGTATTACCAGAAAGTGAAGCAGAAACATATTGATCCATAGATACATAAGTTTCGACACTTGGAATTATTCAAAAGTTTCATGAGTAACGTTTGTTGTTGAACTTGTTGAAGAACAACCTTTCTTGAAGTTTTCTACCGCCGAAAATTTTGAGCAATCACTGGGAAGAATTGTGCTTATTACACGGAAATCATTTCTTCTTTCTGCTGTAAATAATTTATACATTGTTATCCACTTTTGAGCAAATGAGACTTTGAAATTGTAATTTAACATCTCTTTTGCCCAGACTTTTGACATGACACATCTTGTGTGTGTTTAATGACATTCATCGACACTTTGCTGGCCAATTAATGTAAAAGGATACTGAAAACTCTCAATAGGTAGATATGTTGAGTCAATATTCAAAGAATCATATATACGCTATCATTTAATTATCTATTTAACTTTATTCGTTAAACGTTGCCTGTAATTACAACCAGCAGAATGATCTAATAGTTGTCTATGCTGATTTAAAGGTTGATTGAAAATTTTTCCTTCCAGAATCGTTATCCAGAATTTGTTTTCTTTGTTCCAGTTACATTAGTAATGCCGTGTGCTCTAAATCATGTTACTTCGGTTTCTCACTGAATAAGAAAAAATAAGTTGGAAACAGTGAAGACAAGTGTATGCTACACATGTTTCAGAAGATCGAACAGAAGGAGTTTTACCGATTTACAGAGACTATAAAAATAATATGTCTAAATAATGTCTCGTTCCAGAGGCTTTTCTTCCTGTTTTCACAGAAGTGTACAGACAGTACAGTTTTCTTTTATGACCGTCGCATGTCTACAGCTTCCTACTCGCATACTACGTTTCTTCCAGACTGCGGATGTTTATTAAAATATAGATATGTATGGACTAATTTATAGAAATTACATTATTCGATTGGGGGGTCTATTACATTCCAAATAAGATAAAAACCTCACTAAACTTCATTGAACTTTTTCAATACTGAATTTTCGACGGTCGTGTATGTTATAAATACATATCCGCAGACCCAGTCATAGGTAAGCAACGGTATAATCTGTTTAATACTGATTGCTGAAAACGTTTTATGACGCATTCAATCTGTCACTTTTACATATACTTGCGATTATTCATACATTATTCGATTATTCGTTCTCCGTTACGTGGATCTCATCGTTAAATATGCATATTAATTGTGTGCAGAGACTTTCCAAAACTAAGATAGTAGACATTCGTACTAGCAAGATCTTTTTGAGCATCTGTAACATAATGGGGGAATCCCAAAGTATGCGATAATTTAAATCTTCTCGATTATAACACGTATTTTTGGATAGTTTGTATAAAGGCATCGACAAATTTACTTTAAGAATGACACAATTCGAGACTTTTAGAACACTACCTGAGAACTTTCAAATACTTCAACATTTCTTTTTATTAAATAATCACATGCCGAGTGTTTTGTAATGTTGTATGTATAAGTAATATTTCATGTTTTAAATATAAAGATATTTTCCGCACACATTCGTCATTGAAATACAATAATGTTTTTGTAGTACAAGCGTTAGTCGCGAAGATGTTTATTGCACATATTATCCGTCCAAATAATACTTAAAAAAAATGTTCCCTTTCATTGCCTGTGTTTGGTATTGCAAGTACATTGGGGTTCCTTTCTTAGCCAACAGCCCTGCTTCTAATTTACTTGAAAGAATCTGTTCAATTTTAGACAGACAGCTTGAAAACACTTTTTATCACAGATAATAAACGTTTATTTGGTGCAATAAATTGCATTGTTTTGAATTGCATGAACAAGAAAAGTAAGTTGAATAGCAACGAATAAGCAACGGTAACAAAAGTAAACAGTATTTTCGAACGCATGCAACGCAAAGCGCCAAAGTCTTTATAAATATTTTCTATAAAAAAATGCTATCTTGTATGTATATCTGAAGAAAGAATTATAACTTTAATAGTTTAATAGTTTAATCGATATATGCCGTATTCGGTTTTTGCATTCTACCCTGATAAAACTAGGAAACGTTTTGCTTACGATTATAATAGAAATACAACTTGTTTTTAATAGTATCAAAAAAACTTTCATCTCTACATTATCAATATAAAGCTTCTTTTTTACTGTTAAATATATGTTTTGTAAACTGTTTTGAACATGACTAATTGCTATGGTAATTGCAAGTATCCAATACCGATGAAATAAATAAAAACAATGAGTGACTTGCAACACTGAAACTCTTAAAATTGAAAAAAGTAATACCAAATTGGCATAGTTTCATCTTTGAAACGAATAACAAAGATATAATTGACGTGTTTCAATTTATACATGTCAATAATCTGTACATGCACACCTCCATCGTATTATGTGGATAATATTTTACATTACGATGTTCATACGTATCCGATAAAAGATATTATTTCTGTACATTTTATTCTACAAACTGACTCTACAGAATGTTTACAACTTCGAAGTATAATCCCGTACTTCTAAAAAAGAAAGGAACAATGGAGATATACCAATCTATAATATCATGCGATGTCTCCGTAAAATACTCTTCAATCGACATGCATATATTGACGCGATCGGTATATTCCATACACCATTTCTCAAAGCACGCGTTAGACCTACAGATTTCGAATGCATCAGATAGAATTCTGGATGGAATGCTTTCGTTAGTCTTATCATTAATCGCGGTTATAAATACCACCAGGCAAGATTCTGCCGGAATGCACCATTGCGGCTTAGTTAGTATCCAAAATACTTTGAAGACAATAGAAACCAATAATAAAGAGATTCACTAATACTGAATATCAAATTGTTAATAATACTTTTCCTGCATACTGCTACATACAATAATACTATTAATATTTTTGAGGAGAAGCTAACACTCGAACAACCCATACGGTCTCGTGGTTACGAAAATTAAAATCTAAACGAGTTAAAACTACTCGCTTACAGAGATCAAATTAGTAAGGTGAGATTCGTTTTGTTATAAACATAGTGTGTTACTCTGGTGCTTAATCGATTGAGAAATCTCACAAGGCCGTGCTTTCGATCGGCGACGCTGGCCGGTTAGGTGTGCAACATCTCTCAGGAGTATGGCACAATTCCGGGGTATGTCTATCATCCCTCAACTGACTGAAGTCTAAATCCGCAAAAAAGTCACTTCTCATGGTGCCCACCGCGCTATCGGAGCCAAAGCTGTCTTGTCTGCACAGATCCACGTTTTTGTAGCATCCACTATACTCTGTCAAAGAGTGAGACAACTTGTTATCGTGCATTGACTTCTTAGAATCAGACTCCAGTTTGGTGGAATCTTGGATGGATGTGATATAGTCTATCTTTTTCCCAATACTAGTCTCGTCTTGTGTGTTGTACATAAGGAAATCATCGTTTTTGGAGATGCTTGAATTCGAGTAAAGACTATCGGCGTAATGAAGAGCAGTATTTTTTCTGAAACTGTCATCCTTACGGAGATCATCCTTCTGCAAGGTATTGAATGGTGAATACACTTTGTAAACTTTGTCATTGTATTTCGCCGAACAGTCTAATACTGTGAGACTTCCTTGTCTGGACAAAATACTACCGATGTCCGAAACACTACTGTCTTGTCTGGTAATCCTGTCGTTCGAAGGTTCATTCTCGTTAATTTCCCCTGAGCTTACAGTTACTTTTGATTGCAACGAAGTACCAGCTTCGAATTGATTATTATTTTCGGAAGAAAATGCATTCTTTGGCGTCTCTTTTGTGGGTGAAATCTTTGTTCTTCTCAAATAAGAACCTACTGATTTCGAGTTGTCGTTTTTAACTATTTTAATGTCACTATCGCTTTGAACATCGGCTTTATTCTCTTTGTCTGTAACATTTATAGATTTACCAATTTGCCTTAAATAGGAGCTAACATAATTCGCGTCGGGTATTTTGAATTTACTCTCCAGTTTCGTTCGGGAATGGCTCGCTGAATGATAATCGTTGGACTTTTCCGGCTTTGGGCTGAAATTATTATTGACTTTATACGAGCATTTGTTGTCAATAATATATTCTGGAGTGTCTAAAAAGGAGCACGGACTAGCTCTACCCACATATCTGATTTTCTCAATGGTGGGTATTCGTTTCAGATTACATTCTGTTTGATCATATTGCTTGGTGCAACTGTCTTGTTTATCATTGGGAAGACGGGACGATGATTCGATCGATTTTGGCCTGGCAAAACATCCCGTGAACCCACTAGTTTCAGGAAAAATAACTATTTCAGGCTTTTCACTAGTTTCTTTCGACCTGGAATTCTGCCTCGCATATCGACCCATGTTTCCAGGCGAATCGTTCGATTTACTATTCTGCCTCGTGTATCTTCCTTTCGGACTAATCACATCTGGCACTTGAAGCGTATTACCGATCTGGACAGATTCCTCGCGTTCGAGAGTGCTATCGTCACAGCCGCTGCACCGTTTCTTTTCCTGATGCACTTGACCCTCTTTAATAGGTTTCAATTGCGGCATAAGTGTGTCCGGGGTCGTCGATTCGCTGGCACTTGTGCTAGACCCTGTATAGTTCCTGACATCAAACTCCAAATCGGACGGCAATTCAGCGCCCACGGATAAATGCATTGCTAATCCTTCGAGCCAAACCTGCATCAATTCAAAGGGTGGTCTTTTGTCAGGGTTCAAGTCGCAACAAAGGAACGCTATCCGGTAGAACGTTTCAGGACAATTGCAACAGAATTTTTCTTTAAAAACATTCTGATTCAGACCAAAGTCTGATGACCGTGGTAAGTAATCAGGGTCAGCTTGAACCCGTCCAATGATTTCGCAGACGACAATGCCGAAGCTGAATATATCAACCTTCTCGTCGTATTTGTTACCTTTCATCATTTCAGGTGCCATCCAATACGGATTTCCCACTACTGTGTACCTTTTCTTCCTTTCCTTCTTAGACGTTCTCGTTTCTCCGTCGGAATGTCTGTTGTACTTACGATTATCAGGGGAATTACCGTTCTGTATTATTCTAGCTAAACCAAAATCTGCAACGACTACAGTCTTATCCTCGCGCACGAGGCAATTGTGTGAATTCAAGTCTCGGTGAATGATATTCATGGAATGCAGGTAAGCCATACCACCGGCAATATCTCTAGCAAAGGATGTTCGCTGTTCCCATGGCAAGATTTCGTTCGTATCGTGAAGTAGAGCTCTCAAAGTTCCGCCAGCTATATACTCCGTGACCAAATGAAGCTTCTTGTCTTTGTAAAGAACTCCGATGAATCGTAGAACGTTATTGTGATGTAAGGAACGCAACACGGCTACCTGATAAATAAATGAATTTGGAGTGAAAAAAAAAATTGTATGTGCTAATGATGGAACAATAGCACCTAATTATTCATCTCGTTACTATTACCACGTTCCTAGCAGCAATTAATTTTGCATTAGAAATACATACAAGATACGGGGCCCCAGTAACGATACGAACATTAAGAAGTATTAATAAATTTTATTATTTCCGGATGATTTACCTCCTTCAAAAAGTTTTTCTGAGCTTCTTCGTCCACTCTGTACAATTCTTTTAGCACCATAACTTCGTTGGTATCTCTGTGTGTTACCTTGAACACTTGCCCAAAGAATCCCGTACCTAAAAGTTCACCTTTCACTAGATCACTGGCACGAAATATCCTCTGATTCTTCGGTTCCACTCGAAAAGACCTTGTCCTGCTCAAGTCACACGTAGGATTCGTTGACGATCTAAACAATATACATATGTTACTTACAGACTAAGTCATTTCTATTTAGTATGATTATTACAAAAAGAATTGCTACTGATCCACACCCGTCAAGCAGTCGCGACATAGAACTACTGCGTTCCTTATGCATTGGATCTCGCGTTCTTCTTAGTTGTCTACTTCGTGTTCCGCTAATATAACCTTCATCTCGTCGTTTGAATAATCGTTCCTTATTGTCTGGACTGGTTCTTGGACTTCCAATCGACGTCAACATTGCCGCGGACGGTGAAGAATAGGTTGGTTGCCGCGACACTGCATCCGGATCATGTTCGATGGTCAACTGAAAGAACGAATGCATTTGTTTCTGTATTCAATCAGAATTACAAAAATCATATGATGTTAGTTGTTTGCGCCATTTTCAACTGCGATCGTGTCAACGTGAAAGATATGATTTATAATGCAAATCACCTGTAGAACAGTATCCGAATATTGTATAAGGTTTTCTAAGCTTTCTATGGGCTGATCCTTGACAGGTGTACCATTCACTTCAAGTATTCGATCACCAATGTGCAAAGATATGAGATCATTGGACACATTCAGTCTGTAACACCATTTTCTATGACATTTCCAATGTTTATAAATAATTGTTATAACAATACATGCCAAATTTTGCGTGCATTTTATTGGTATTCGAACATGATGTTGTATTATAAATATTACACGTACAATGGTACTGTGATAAGAAACTGAGTAGGTTTCAATCGGTGAGGCTATTGCTGGATATTCTATAGCAAATTTACATACTTTGTAAACTAATACACAGATGAGGCACAGCAATATACAAATTGCAACACTCTGCTTAGTAAGCACATAGGTATTTCGTAGAAGATAAATAATATTACGAATAGAATAACTTGAAAGCTAAATACCCTGTACACAGTATAATGTAACAGAAATATACAATGCAAAGTGGAGTACACAACGTGTCACTTTATCCTAAATATGTTACATGCTTACAAAACAACATAACATATATTATTAAATAAACAATATTTCAGATAAAACACATAGATTGCACAAGATATGTATTTCACGTGCAGTTAAGCAGCAACTACTAAATACACACACCTAATTAGTAAAAAAACAAAAAAAAATACAATATCCAGTGCACATTATTTATTTATTATGCTTGTACCTATGATTAGAGAAGTGGCAGCATAGTCTAAAAAGAACCTCCATCACAGAGGCCAGCAGCTTACTGATCTTTCCATGAACATTTCTCATTAACCTGTGTTTTAGTTCGATGTTATTAGAGGCTGTATATTTTTACCAATTCTTAAACAACCACAAAATTATTCATGCAAAGTTAAATATTTTGGAAAAGCTTTATTAAGTATAATTTTATATTGTACAGAAGTATTGTCTATTAGTCTATTTAGAATTGAAAATTTTCTACACTCATTATATGGAAATACTTTGTTTACTGATGTAGGAAACTGTTGCAAGTTCATTTGGAAATTGCTCATATTATATAGTATGCCTGTACCCAATGACTAAAATTTACTCACATTACGGAATCAGATGTATCACAGTAAAATGTTTACAGTAAACAAGTAAATTATGTTTAACATGTTTTTAAAAATAATACCGAATGTAAACAAAAAAAATATAATATAAGAATATATAGGTATATTGTACATATTTTATATACATACTCAGATATACGAAGCAAAGCTCCACAATTTCGAGGACTAGGAGTTGTGTCTAATGTCAGTTTAATTCCTCTCTGTTTCTCAGGATCAGCACTGTTTGGAGGTATTTCCACCAGTCTGATACTATGTGGTTTTCTGGCAAATGGACAATTCGCTGTTCTATTGATTGGTTGCATTTGCCTCTTGTAACAGCATCCACAATAAAGCTTAGACCTTTCAACAAGGGCATAACTCTCTCCATCACCAATAAAAGCTCCACAAGAATTGCAGGCAAAACATTCTGGATGAAATTTGTGATCTCCTGCCAGCATAACAGGGCCTGTGATGTTTTGGCCGCAACCTTGGCAGGCTTCCCCATAAGCAGCCCAGTAATCATCCTTGCAAAAAAGCAAGCCATCCTTCTCAAAATACCACGAAGAGAGACCAATATCGCACGCTGAACATCTAAAAACACACAACTTTGACAATTATACGGGAAACTTAACATAGACATTAATTATATTATTCGAGTCTCTGGTTTTATAACATATTTTGTATTGCTTATCGGTACAGGGTATAGAATTATTTGTAACTCTAAATTCCTATGTGTCTGTAAATCTGATTGTATATAAAATAAGGGACTCTGTAAGTTACCTATGGCAAGCAGCAGTCATTTTGAAAAATAAGGCCTAAACAGGAAGGAAATCCACTGCACTATCAATAATGTTAGTTCTAAAAATTTGGAAGTTTATTTTAATGGGATCTTAAGGATTAATGTCTTTAGTATTAACTTAAACAGTTAGCAGTATTATAAGTAGATCAATTAAAAAGGTAGTGATATTCAATATCTTGTTATTGTTACCTACCGAAAACAATCAATATGCCATTCTTGATTTAGAGCTTGTACAAATTCATCCTCGTCAATTGCATTGAGGCAACTGGCACAAATTATTGTCCCTCTGCTTTCTCCACTTCCCTGGTCTAACATAAATCACAAAACAAGATTACAATTTAATCGACAGTAAATCCCTTTCAAATGTATGATTCGACAAATTCAGTTGACTAACTCCAGCGTTTAGACTGTTTTTTTCTTCTTACTGTATTGTGTATTTACATACCCGTGCACGCATGTATTTTTTTGCGCGAGTCCGATGGAACATTGAAGGCTTCGTGAACGCTCGATCCGGCGTTAAATTTCGAATATTTCAAACTGATAACAGCTGCGAGAACAAACCGGTCGCAATGTCGTAGAAAACAGAGCGCGTCAGGGTCGTGCGGTACGAAGGAAACGTGATTCACAGTTGACGTTAGGCAAACATCGGGGAAAGTAGTATCAACCAGCTGATGATAAATGAGATGGTTCGAAGGGTTTCTTTGATTGTCAATTGAAAAAACGTGTCGCTTGGGCCATTACGGATCTCGGATAACGCGATACCCTTGCGATCATGATACTGTAAAAATTGAATCAAGAAGAACGCGTAAATAAAGTCTGATGAAGAGCGTGGGCCAGGAGACTTGGAAGGCAGGACGCCCACGCGATCCACGAAGCGTCAAGCATACATACGAAATCCTCGATCAATCGTTTCGTCGCACGCAAAGCTATGAACGTTCCGCCTTCTACACCGTGAATCGGTTCGCACGTCTGAAAATAACGCTCAATTTTGTCGAAAAAGACATACCGTTCGATGAAACTTCGTCCATCACAGCATCTATTTAGGAGGACTGACACGCTCCCACTCCGTGCCTTGGCCACTGAATATAGAACTGTATAGAACGCATAGAGTTGGAATCCGTTGGCAATAGATGGCGTATCGTACGATAGCGAAAAATTTGAGCATAGTTTAAATTAAATTCTTTGGAATTATTCTATGTTGAAAAAAAATGAATTTTCTGTTGGGAGGTAGTCATTTATTCTCACAATATTTGGTCATTAAACTAATATAACTCGAATAGAATTCATATTTGTAATTCCTCGATTGTTTGTTTTATATATAGAGAGTATTTTGTTTATAATACTTGCATTATTAAAGTGTGTACATTTTGTATCGTGAGCTTAAAGTAAATATAGTTACGGAAACAGTAAGAACCTGATGCTTTTGTTGCTTATTTACATACTGCATTATAATTTGTATAATTATGGCATAATTCGGAGGAATAAAATATGTATGTATAAACCGTATGATATAAGATATAAGCTATATTAATAACATTAGAAATGTATGGTACTATAATCTAATATACTCTACTATCATATATATATATAATAATTAAACCACTGGATACTTATAAATATGCATTAATTTCGCATGCAATATATGTATATGCATTAATCCAGTTTACTGGATGATAAACATTCAAAAATATATGTTCCATACGATGACTTCGTTTCAGGATAGAATCACCGATACCGATCGGATGGAGAAATATTAATTTATTTCTTCATCAATACTATAATTTTTGTCGTATTAACGTTAACGATATTGTGCTACATTATCAAAATCGATCGAAGGTCGTGAGGAAACAAAAATGTCACTGAGGTATTCTTGAAAATTAGTTGTGACGCGATCAATCGATTGCACGCTTTCCTGGCTGACCTTACAGAGGTATTAACAAATATCCGGATATCGTGCTGGGTCAACCCCAGTTTCCGGATCTTTTCTGGTCGCATCGATTATTTGGACTCGAGGGCCACAAATAATGGACGGTTCCTCGTACTACGAGCAAAACTGTAGCAAGCTTACATCTGAATAGTTTCAATCACAGTAGATATTGTGCAGAATGATCGTCATTGATTCTTTCGTAATTATAATTGCTATATTTCCTGTTTCATTTTCTACGTATGGTTCAAATCAATCAGATAAACGCGTTTACTTAATTATTCGAAATAACAGTAGATTTAGTTTACAGTTGGAGACGTAAAATATTGTTTAACTTTCATCCGCATAACTATACTCAATCTTATTTAAACTTTTTCATTCAGAATCTTAATTATCCGATAACTTTGAGCAGTATTCAAATGACTACAGTACTATGAGCTAATCTATGTTGCATAGAACTTTACGACGACTTTAAACTGGTTTAATCTACACAACAACATCTTTGAACAGACCTGTTCAAATGACAAAGTTATGAAAGATAGAAAATCGTAAACCTTGATCAATTCATTGGTACTTTATAATTTTATTAAATTGATGCACAAGCGATACCGATATGTGTCATAATCGTATTATCCTTCGAATTGTAATCTTTCGCTGATGTTACTTTAATGAAAAATATATAAAACTTTGAATTTCTATTCCGAATACCTTTGACTTATTCGACAGTATTCATCAATTTAATAAAGAGCCTTAATCTATAGAAAACCGTTCCGAAGCTACGTGCCGTTATGCAATTACATGCATATTTCGCGGGACAGCGAAGGCGACGAGTGATATGCAAGAAACGCGAACCTTGTTGCAGTAATACAGTTACAATAGAACCCTCTTTCATTGCGCGATTGTTCCTCACAAATCCTCTTATCGTTAAGAAATCTTTGGTTCCTTCGCATGACTCAATCTCAGTAAACAAGTTTTGTGCCAGCAATGTCAGAGGGTCAATCGTTTATGCTATTACCTTTACAGTTGCATACAATTAAAGAGTAAAGTTGAGCAGTAATTGTGAAATCGTATTACGAACGGTACCAGTTCACTTCAATTTATGTACTTCGATAATATAATTATTTTCCTTCGATTTATAAAAAAAAAATCCTCGATTCACACTTGGCAATGCTTTTCCGTAGCAAGAAGCAGTTCTTATTTAAATTGGATACGAGTGGTCGAATGTGGATGATGGAAATTGATTTGCTTGTATTCTGTGTTTCCTTTGAGAATCGCGACACGAAAAGGGTGAACGAAGAAACTTGCACACGGTGGCCTCGATGTTTATGTTCGCTGCACCGGAATTGCAAGGACGCCAGGTGGACGTGCAACGAACGTGGCTGTTGTTACATTTACATAACAGTTTCTCGATTTCATATGGACCCCGTTTCACACATTAGTTACCACTGCTGCCCTCGAATTCGTATGTACGTGTTCTAGGGGCAGATTTTTTTCCAGTTACCAAGCTAATTATCCGAATCGAATCAGATAAATTGAATTGCACCGTTCGTCTTTCAATACCCATAATAAATCGAGAAAAGTCGAGAATTCGGGGTTCTCCTGCCAGATTTGATTTTGTTCGCAAGAAAAACACAGATGTTACGTGCAGATAAAATGGCCGATGGTTAACGCACGCAGGCAATTATCATGCTCATTTGGGACTCTGTTAACTGGGCAGCACCTCAAAGGCTGTCAGGTCCGTTTTTCTTGCGCTTTCGGAGTAGCTAGTTGATGTTCAGAGGCATCAGCGGTACATACTTATCGCTGGGACGGAAATGGTACTGCGAGCACAACCGGTTAGACACGGATTCCGCGTACCCGTTCCTATATAACAGATCGAAAAGATTGCGATTATTTACCAATTTTCAAGAATGTCATGTCTACGACACTGTTCGCGAAAGCAATAGCGAGTAAACAACCACCACCAGTATCCCAGTCACTATCACCGTTACCGTCACCGTAACCCTGTAAGAATGCTATTTGTAAAGGAAATTACGGTTTCAGGGAGTTTCGCCGCGAATACGTTGCTGTTTCCGCTTGAGTACTTCGCGCATCGCCTGCAGGAACGTCTTCAGGAAGAGAACCTTCTGTGTGTAATGGTCTCGCCGCGATTCCGCGATTTCGTACTTTGCCGTGTTCTCCCAGTAGACGGGGCAACTGAAGGGAGTCCGTTAGGAAATAGTTAAGAACTTAATCGGAAACTGTAAGTTTTCATGGGCTGTTATCGCTGGACTGTGGATTTTATGCATTTACAGTGTACCTGATTGTCGGAAGTAATCGGTATATCAAGAAACTCAATGAATTTTAGTATGATTTTCATTTGATCAGGGACATGATAGAACCTTCGACGCAGTACAGATATTTCTGTTCATTTCCAAATTGATATTTGCATAAAATGGCCACAGTTTTGTTATCACTGGTCGAAGCTTTTTGAGCGTCGGTGTGATACTCGACCCCAACGGGCGTCTCTCCTTGAAACAAGTCACTTGTATGACATTGAAGAAAAGAGCGCCGAGGGTGTTGGCCACCTCCGAGTTTAGGTTCTGAAGGCATCTACGGAACTTGGCATCACAGTCGCAGTGGGACCGTGTGAACGGCGAATTGTTGCAAATAGTATGTATGCATTGCTGCGACGCTAACGTGATCGGACAATGATCATGTTCCCTACAGCAGGAGTCCTCCGCTGCGTGTTGACCCAACTCGTCGTACGACTTAGCCAGGGTACCCGGCCCGCACCATTTTGTTCCCGGATAGATCAGTCCGCCGCCCGCAGGCTGATTCTGTCAACGTATAAATTCATTTCGTTCAATTTCGTGTCGAGTACAGTATTTACAAACGAACGGTTATTCAACGATAATCGTAAGGTAACACGGGTGTTTGACTTCAATCAGAAGCATAGCCGTTTACGTCACTGCTAGATCGACTTGTTAGGAAGTTCTCCGGTGTAATCTAGACATGCACACACACACACACACACATACAGAGGTTTGCCAATCAACGCCGAGATCAACCTTCTTGCGGTTCGTTTAGAGTTCAAGAGCAGTTCACTGATAGAGTACACGTGTCTTGTAAAAACATTATAAGATTGCGTGAAGAGACAATTATTATGTCTCCGAAACGTTCCGATTGTCTTTTATGGATATATTAACCGTTACAAGATCTAGGTTCAAATAAGAAACTTCACCTTTCCCTTGTCTCGAGACGCTTTACATGTTTCTTCCAGGTCCGCGACGAGATTGCTAGACATTTGCCGGACTTTCTTGGGGTCCGCGCCGAGGACCATCCTTTGTATAACGCCACGGTCGGTGTAGAGGGCACAGAACGGTGCGTCCGCGTTCAGTTCCACCATTCTGGACATGGACATGTCCGCTACCAAGACGCTACCCTCGGCCTCGTACCCCGAAAGCGTCACCACAAGCATCAAGAATATCGCCAGCATCTGAAAATTGAGATTCAAAGGCTGAGGATTCGCCGTGAACGATCGAAGGCTTCATTGAGATGTTGTTACTTAACGCGTTTAACACCGCGAAGGTCGTCAAAGACACCATTTACCAATCGTTGGAGGTATCCTTCCGATTTATTTATCTTTCTATTTCTCAAAATCAGGACAGTCAACAAACACGCGAATATTCTCTAAACGACCTGACTGAGTCAATGATTTTGCAAATATTACCCAACGACTATGTCACTCTAGACTATGCAAATATCGATATTACTGGTGTTTTACTGTGAATTACGCAAAATACGAGCTTAACTGAATTAGAAAAATGTTACATGTTGGGTGATCAATCGCTTTCCAACACCATTGAGTGACAGTGATACAAAACATCCAATCACTGGCAACACTTTGAAGAATTTCAGCTTCCTTCGGAAGCTTCTTCCATGACGAATCTCTTGTGATCTTTAGATGTCATTCGTTAAAAATGTATAGAATCCGCAGTCTGGTCATTCTACAGAGTCTATAATGGACTTCTCTTGTTCCAGTTTGAATAAAGCTCCTCGAAATAAAGGAATTCAATAGTTATGAAGTAAACGCAATACCGAAAATAAGAATGAAAAGTATCATGCTGTAGAACATTTATGCAACGTTCAAGTTCGACTTTTATCCGAAATTAACCGTATCTTTCAATTAAAAATGCTCCCCTAATGAAAGGTCAGGCTCGGGACTACGTAAATTGAGAGGACACGTCCCCCGCGAAGGTTCAAGGGCGCCGGTTGTTCCCATGGTCCAGAACTCTATGGAAGATCGTGTCACGACGACACGAACATAATGAAAACTGATTGCGTTACGTGACAGGACAGCGTGACGTTTTCTTTCTGAATCTGTCATTAATCGTTCCTCGTTGAACGCCAGTCCCGAACAGATTGCCCTGCAGGAATTCCGGTCGCTTTAACGAGCTAATCGGGGGGAGGGGGTAGATCAATTAAAGCTCGTGGAACCATTTGTTCTCTCCTATACATAGAGATGGGTAAACTCATTATTCCGATAAAACGTTTCCAATAACGAAGAAAACATACGGAACGGTCTGCCCAATTTTTCCTCGAAACTGAGTAAACATATACGTATGTATATAAGAAAACATTAGTTTCAAATCGCTAGGTAATGCGCGCAAAAAGATGACCCGGTGATTGAAACACGAGTGGGCGACTACGCGTTCTCGTCGACAAGAAAATTTGAACCTGCGTTTGAAAGTCGATACACGGAAGTAACATTAATAACAGGCCAAGTGACTTTATTTCACGCAGAATTGTTCATTTTACCGTTTACGTAGCGAAGCCGAGCATCAAGGTGTTCCGACGTAATCGCGAGTCTCTCAATTCATTACGTTTCCGTTGGAAGATTTGCAATTTGAATAACGTCTCTGTGTATGCACACGCTATTTTATCTTTTCTGTGCACAGTGTCCCGATCCTTCATGCGATTACGTATGTACAAAAAAGAGAAGAAAAGAAAAGAAAAACACGACAGAGAAGCGTGAACTGTTTGTACCGTCCTTCCGATTAAATATAGAGGTGACAACGACAGCCATTTTTAGTGCTCTTTTCTTACTTCTTGCTCCGTGTACGCGACATTACGCGATTACTTCAACGGAATAATGTGCATTTCAAGTAGCGAGCGTAAACAAACACTTACAGCTGTTTTTAAGAGAAGTTCTCACGCGCAAACATACACCTGTTTTCTCCCTCGCAAAACCCCGTCCAAGAACTTCGCACCTCTTCACCGCACACCAAACTCCATTCTCTCACCATACAGAATCTATCACGAATATCGAAAATCGCTGGACACCGTGGAAACAGGCAAACAAAGCTTCACAAAATACAAATCCCGCATGACCTTTGCGAATCGTTGGAAGAAACGATGATGCGAACAATTTCTTTTACAAAAACAAATGGAACATAATTCGATACCAAAGGTGATTTCACGGAAAAAAAAAACGAAAACTTTGCGATTGCGATCAAGAACCAGTTAGTTAACGATACGATGATCGGTGGAGGATGGTGTCCGAGATATCCGAAGCAATGACTCTGAGGCGCGCGGACAGACTGATGCCGCTTCACCTTTCCCGAGAACCGTTTCCAAAGATCCATCAAGGCCGGATCCGCGAAGGTCGCCAGGAGATAAGGAACAAAGACCGAAACGTTGAAGGCTTCGTAACCGGGTGTCCTTCTTCTGAATCGGAATCGCAAAACAGATTCGATCAGACGATATATATATATATATATATGTATGTATTGCGAGGAAAAGAAGGGATATCCGAGGAGGAGAAGAAGACAACGACCTTGCGAATCTCGAGTGTCTCGTGTCACGAGACACAGTATTAAATAATTCTCGTGTAATCTCCGGGAAAGGATGGACACTTGTAACGGCACGATGGGACAATTTCGCGGGGGCGCCTGTTTGTACCGAGATTTCAGTGTCGACGACTTTTTCAGCAATTACGTAACGCGGGATGCAGAAATGGAACCGTTCTGTTTTCGGCCGAGTTCAAGCCCCGGGACGGGTGTAAATTCTTGTGCGAGGATTTAACGAGCATTTCGCTGTTTTTCTTGATAATGATGGTAGTGGAATTTCCAGGGGATAGAAAACGAAGCGGTTATCGAAAGAAGTAAAATAGATCGATGGATCGTATCTACGAGATAGGAAAATAAAAATGAAAAGTATTCAAGAATCCTGAGCTTAAAGCTGAATGAAGTACTAAAGAAACAAAACAGTGTTCTGGAGGCTATTGATCCCTATAACACCGTTTTGTGCAACAGGTGACGCGTATGCATAAATAGAAACGAAATTCTTTCTTTGAAGCTACGAAACACATAAAAGTATCGATTTCTTTCAAATGAATTGCGTTACTTGTAGAGGTCGAACAATTGTTCCGGAGCAATTGGACTCGTGGCACGAAAGTATGTTCCAACGGTTACAGTCGATGGATCGATAGAAAATTAATTCAATTATTTCGATTAGACCGTCCCAGTTTGGGGGAGGGGCCGGTCCTGGAAACGTCACGCCGAGCACCCCACGTTACGCACCGGTGAAATTGAAGCAGATATCGAAAATCTAGGTCACCGGGATTCATCGACGAACTTGTCTCTTGAACCTGTGAACCACACCGTCCGAGCAACCCTATCTAATCGAGGCGAATCAACACCAGTGACTCTGACCCAACTCTGTCGTTCTGAGGGTCAGTCGGATACGTTCAATTCTTCGACTGAAATAATTTATTCCGTAAACCTTCGACCACTTTTCGAAATGATTGGGACTATTCTAATCAGCTAATTAAGATGACTCACAGATCGGTGATTAGTGACAGTCTAATTACCATGACTCGGGAATGTTTCTCGTTTACCCATATCACTGCCAAATTTATATTTAATGACCCTTTCTGCTCTTTCGACAAAGAGAGAGAGAGGGAGAGAGAGAGAGAGATGAGCGAGGGGAGTGTACACCGGCTGGAATAAATACAGTTGCACTAACAACGACACGAGAAAATGATACAATAACAATGTAAAATTATACAAAGTTACCGATATTTACTGTGGCTACCACAAACTTACGAGCTACACATATTAAAGGAAAAGCAATGGGCACACACACGCACGCACACGCAAGTAAAACCGATGATCACAAACAAAAGTACAAACACACCCATAAAATCGAAATGTCGGCCAAGAAAATACCCGAAACGAATCGTAACGAAGAGTCGCGCGAATATGGAATTAATAAAATAACAGATTATCTGACGTCAGAAAGAATCGCTCGAGGAATTGCCACTCGTTACGGTCAACGCCGCTCAAAATCGATGAATTACCCCGTGAAAAAACTCGTGCACGTGCGCCACCGGATACGTGATTCGAGGGTGCACGAAAGGACGCCGCCGCGTTCGCCGAGGATGTCCACCGAGGAAACGACGACCTTCGATCGGAAAGGATCCTTGAATTGAAATCGATCGAGAATCGGTCTGTAACAGACAGGTTGTTGTGTTAGCCCGCGAAATACCCTCGACTCGAGAGAATATAACGCAAGGCTCGACTGAATGAAGAGGCGAGGTAACATCGCCGCGTTGCCAGCTGGCACCAACCCCACCCCCCTATCTGCGCACCCCGGAAACCGCAACGCGACTTCGGCTGCTGCAGTGCGCAACAACCCTTCGCGAATAGGCGAGACCACCTGGTTTCGTTGTCCTGAGCAAAAGATACACCGGAACAGCTGAACATCTCTTCGGTGGACAGACCAGTCCGTATAATTGGAACAATCAGCGCGGGATGTCAGAGTACTCTAGAAACCTCTCTTCATCGAACTATCTTGGTACACTATTTCACACAACGGCCTAAAAATCGTATTTAAACATCATTAAAAATAGAAACGTTATTACGATCCGGTGGTGGTAAGAAAATAATGTATCAGTAGGATATTGTGTTCTACCGTGTAAACAGTTACCTACTGGTCTTCGGTATTCGTGAAGCTTCGTTTGCACATTCTCGGAGACCATTGTTCGTTAATTCTTCGCACGTACGCACGTTAAGGAAAATATGGATATGTTTTGAGTAATTCAGGCGGCGGAAGATACGCGCTCGGAATACAACAGATCGTTTCCGTATTGTGGGATATATAATTTAAACAAAGTACCGTGAACATAGAGACTGTAAATGTTGTAAAGCGTACCTCGGATATTTACTGCCTGGATGACGTTCCTAGTGGAAACAGTGACCGATACGTTACGCACGATCGTGTATGCCTCCGTGAACTTGTGTACGTCCTGGAAGGATGGTTGTCGTCCGATATCCTCCCGCAAGACTCGCTTTGTTTCTCCTCAACGGCTGCTATCGGACTGATCGTTGAAACGTATCGTCAGGACACTAATATTCAGGGGCATAGATATATGAACCCATGATCCAGATGCGTTACATTGGGGAGATTCTAAATCACGTGATACGCTGCATGTTTATAACTATAGAACATATATAACTATCAGTTGTAAATAGATTCGATTAATTCCAATGACGCGCTCGTTAGATATACCAAAGAGCTTCGTTCCACCTCTTTTTGTTTCAACCAACATAGAGATATAATACGTACGAGTTTATTAAAAAAATTAGATAGAAGGGCTCTATGAAGAAATAATGAGCAAGGAAAAATTATGGATCTAATTATGGGTCGTTATTTATTAGGTATAAAAGAAGAACAGTCTTCTAATACGCTAAAAAATTTTATTTCACCTTAACACTCATCGGTACCGTCATTTTCGGGTTCGTTCTCCTTGGTATACTCATCAAAGTAAAAATATCAGTTTATTCGTTACGTAGTCTTTCGTTCTCGTTTTACATGTACCTCTATTCTACCGAATAATATCGTCGGATATTAATTGTAAACGACAAGATTAGTAATAGCGTCTCGTAAAGTGTCGATGCTCATAAGGCCGTAACAATGGAGATTCCTTGAACATCATAAAACTCATGGAGATCAAAATGACTAAACGATACTCTTAAACCTATCGTTTAAGGAATCCATTCGACTTCGTTCGTTTCGTAACCCCCAGTAATGGCAGCTCTAGTGTTTTCCTCCGGTCTGCTGCTGGTGTTCTTCTGCTCGTTTCCGGTCAGTTTATGGTAAACCTTGCTTCCTGCGCTAGCCACATATTGAACCCCGTCGCCCAGTTTCTGGCCAGCTTTGCGGACCACGTTACCAATGTTCTCCGCTGAGAAGGTGTTAGGATCGATGTTGATATCCAAAGTATTGTTACCTTTAGGGCATCCGGTTTGAGATATGATGCTCAGGTCATAAGGACTGACTCCGAAATTGCTCAATTTCTGGCGCAATTTTTCCACATAGCTCATGTCTAAATCGCGGCGTCTGGAAAGGATAGTTGCGCTCTGACGATGAATGAATGCGACTTGCTGGCACGTGAAGATACCCGCGTAGTTATCGTAATCAGTGGCGAAAATCACATGCGACGCACTTCCGGCGACACCTTAAAGAAAATTGAGTTAATTCGTCTTTTATAAAAGATAGAACGGGTGAATTATTCGGATTGAAGTAAATTTCGGCTATAGCTGAATAATTCTAAATTATCCTGAAATAAAAGTTGCGTAAGAGTGACTTATAATTAGCACTATACGCCTCGTGTAAGAAACCATATTCTCATAGTTGAAAAGCTTAAATAATTTGTATCTTGTATTTCTAATTATAGAATGATGTAATTGTAACACTTACTCAGAGGAAAACGAACTTGCATTCGAGCTGCAATACTCGGTTCCGGAACGGACAATTCACCGGTATAATGATACTCATGCTTCAATGGCGTAAGACCTGCGCACAGAGACATCGCTTTATTACAGATAATTCATTCCACTTGCTAGATAGTTATCCTATTGACATGCTTTTATGAGACCCGATGGCACCCAATCCACATCTTTATTAATTCAAAGGCTTCCAGCAATATCTACGTTTATTCCGAACGATACCACGAAGGGAAATCTTAGACAATTCACGTCACTGTCAACGGTCATTCGATAAGACTTCTGGCATACGCAAGTTTCAAACTTCCAATTCGCAATTTTTCAGTTGCGTAGATATTCTTCTTCATCTCACCTAGTATCGGGTGGTCAGAATCCTGCGTAATCACGTATTCCCCCGGCTCTTCTCCACGTGTATAATTATAGGTGATGCATTTGCTGGCCGTAGTCGTTTTTTGGATGACATACCATACGCCCAAGAACTAAAATTTCAAAGAAAAAATTCAATATCAAACGTGTTTCAAATGGAACTATGAATTATTTATATTTAATTTACTCTATTCATTTGAAATCCTTGCATTGGCTCCACAAGGGGACATGCGCCCGTGTGATATGTATGTGCTCCGGCGTAGATAAAGAATCCCAACAGAAAGAGGAAAGAAGATAACGTCTTCATCTGAAAATAAAATATTTACATTGTAGTAACTTGGAACAAACACGCGGTTATAGTGCATTACATAAAGATGTCTTAATGTTTAATAAACAAATCTATATCGGTTACTAATGGAAAACCGTGTTCCAATTATTCATTGAGCGGGATTTCCAGATCCCAATTGCAACTGTTTACACTTACGTTTCAGGAAATTTCTTTGTAAACAAATTACCGGGATCTAAGCAATTTTCTTTATCTGTATTCATCATAGACTATTAATAGATAACAAAAGTATTTATATACTTCAGATCGCGATTCCTGTTTAATTAGTATATTATTCTATTACAAAATATATAAAATTTCTTCCAGACGTTACAATATGATCTATTGTCTCTGCGATAAGACACATACAAAAAACTTCCTTGAATTAGTATATGGTAACGTACATATCGTACTGCTCTTCTGAAAAAAAAAGAAAAAAAGAGAACGGTGTCGACTACGCATCAGATTATAATATCAACCTCGGTGACCTCACTCCCTCCATCGAGTGAAGGCTCCTCGTTTATCGAAAAAGACTCAACTTTCACATATTTACCGTAAATGATGCACGGATAATATACTTCGCGCATCTAATTTTAAATACGCATAACGGAAATTGCAGAATCACATAAACATAAGGCATTTCATATTTATGTAACTAAATAAATAATGGGTTCAGATCGCTCTGTCTTGTGTCATTATTTACAATAGGAATTTTCTATGGCAATTTTTACAACAACAAATAAAGGCAAAGAAAGATGGAAGTGATCATTTCCTCTCAAATACTACAGTTTTATACATTATGCTTCAAACAACTTCACAAGAAGCATATAAAAAATTTCTTTAGTCAATATTAACTTATAAATGAATTCTGAATATTTGTCTCTTTATTTGAAATATTTCAATTTATAAGAAGTGGTACTCTGGAGGGAATACCTTGCAATTTGTAGATATATTAAGTATTTGTTGGAGCCATTGAACTTTTAGAGGATACATATGTAAATTAAGTCAAATGAGGAAATAAATCTAAATACGTTATTGTGTGAAACTACTGAAATTAGTATACTCACGATGAAGTGATGTTGTCAGACTCTGCACTGGTACTGTAAACACTAGACTGAATGCAGGATTTATGAGACGTTCCCCACTCTAAATCCAAATGCGAGTCACGCACGCTTTGAATGAACTGGTACAGTGCCGATCAAACACGTTACTTTTCAAGAATCTGAAAAATTTGACTCATTCTTCTAGAATTCCCTTTTACATAAACCATTTTCTTGTACCATACATTACAATATAAAGTTAAAGGAGAACAATAAAAGATACAGTAGAAGCTTCCTCATCATAAGAATTACTCGGCTGTTGTGCACATACAAACAGAAATACTTCAACTTACTCTTCTACTTTTCTGTCCAACTAAAATGTCAAGTATTATTATCATACAATATATGTGACTCGAAATTTATACTGATTTTAATATACATTATTACCTGGTAGTCTTTAACTCATAGAAAATAAGATGAATACCTATGGCTCCATTAAATATAAACATCTGTTATTAATTTGTTTTCATCCATCAAGGAAAAAGTTAAAATGCGGGTGCCAAATAATTTTTCTACACCGCTGTTTGCGGTGAGTCATCTTTGTCCATAAGTGAATCCAGTTAGTTGGTCCGAGAACTGCTAATACCACCGACGATTTCATTCCCCTTACAATATTAACGTAACTTAATTTACATATTACCAGGAAAAAAAGACAGCATCATAGTGCAGAAAAATAATGGTAGAATAATGCATTGCCTCGTATGGCGCAAGTAATAGAATCCCAGTGCAAATGTCGAAGTTTATGAAATACCGACATCGAGAAACATCTTAGAATAAAATATCGTTGTTTATTTGCGAATAAAAGTACAAGAGACATATTTCAACAAACGTACGAAATTTTTCTGTGATATGTACACATGGCAGTAGTAGATTATTTTTAATTAAGTTACTAATACTACCAAATGTGCTGCCTTTTCTACAGATGCAGCATGTAGAATATACTACAAATAGTGAAAACGTAAGTTTCCCTATTTGCTGTGTACTATAATGGTACCTGAAGAGTTTTTTATGTAATAATAATGGATCACTGAAGTATCAAACTTTTATAGTACACTTCTTGCTCGAGCATACCGTGATAGCTTATAATGACACAGTTCTTTTATAATAATTTTAATTTAGAATTCTGTTGTAACATAATAGCATTGCGATACGAAATCACTGTTTCTTGATTGAATTTCCCCCATTTTGATAAGCAAAGTCATAAAAGAGAAACTTAAACATGTTCTTACACTCGAATAAATTAACTTTTTTAATTACCCTGAGATATATTCTCTACATAGTCACACAATTAAAATGTCATAATTCGAGCAACATAAATCTATTATTTTCCTCACAGTTCCTTAGTATTATGCCTGTGGCAGTTTGGATAAATCTAAATCATTAAAATAAGGATGATTTAAGGCAGCACGTGCGGATATTCTGTGCACTGGATCATAGACAAGCATCGCTTGCAAAAGATCGAGTCCATCGGCATTTAATACATTAACTTGAGATTCCAAATTATTTGTTATCCAATTTGGAAATGTGGCCTTATAGTCTGATAACCGTGTCACACCAGGCCATATTTCTTCAGTTGGTGTCCTTAATATCCTATGGGATTATTATTATTATTATTATTAATATATATTAATTATGACTTTATATTGCATCAAATTTGATGTTAGTACATGGCAAATATATCATACCGAAATATTCTGAATAACTGATCAATCTCACTATCTCCTTGGAATAGCGGCTTCTTTGTCGCCATTTCAGCAAATATACATCCTATGCTCCATACATCAATAGCACACGAGTATCTACTAGCACCAAGAAGTATCTCTGGTGCTCTGTACCATAAAGTGACTACTTCATGTGTATATACTCTAACTGGTATGCCAAATGCTCTCCCAAGACCAAAATCTGCTACTTTAATAACTCCTGACTTGTCGATTAATAAGTTTTGAGGCTTTAAATCACGATGTAGTATTCTACGTTTATGGCAAAACAATATGGCACGTGTGATCTAAAATTAAATACAATCAATGTACAGACAATCTAAAATAAGGTTTACGAAGCCTCAAGACTAATTAATACTGTGCTCCATAAAAACAATATGTGGTAATAATTTATTTTTATATGGCATGTACATTGATATATTCGAACCTGATACAAATAAGATTTCACCACTTTTGGTTCCATTAGTTTCCCACTACCCAAACTATCCATGTATTTCTTTAGATCCATAGTAAGGTATTCAAAAATAAGATACAATTTAGTTTCTTCCATAAGTACATCCATCAATCGGACAATATTGGGATGTGGTAATTCTTTGAGCAATGAGATCTCACGAATTGCTGTTGATGGCATTCCCTCATCATCACTTTCCAGGCGAATCTTCTTCATAGCCACAATTTCTCCCGTTTTCTTGTGCTTTCCCTTATACACAACTCCATACGTTCCTGAAAAATCCTTTGGTTGTACTGCCCCTTATATTATTTTATACCATAAAAGAACATTAATGCCAACAAGTTTGTGTGTGTAGTACCAATATATGGGTACTCATAAATCACTGACAAAACGAATAGGGCTTTTTAACAACTGCAACTTCTAAAATACTCATCTTTCAATAACTTCGGTTGAAACAACCTGGATTTAACAAAATTTCTGTGAGTCACTGGTGACCATGGTAAATTAACGATCGATCTACTTTGTATCGTACTTTGGTATAACAATTTCTGATTAAGAGAAAGTGAAATCTTAGAAAGTTGAGTAAGGGAAGCATCAAGTAGAAAAGCACGACCTGTAGAGAAAGCATCGTCAAATCACCTTCACCGATTTTCTCGATCTTCACGAAGTTCTCCATATCGAATGGTTTGCTCGCGAAATCCAAGCCTGGCCGATACTCTGTTTTAGTTTGGAACGCTCAAATATTCCCCGTAAATGGTAAAATGTCACATGTGTTTCACAAACTTTCCAGTGTGCCGTCACGTAACGATCAAATTCAAACGTCGGTACGCCATATTGATAAACACGTTTGAAAGTTCAGTGTTCGGATTGTTTCGTAACAGTTCGGCTATGTCTCGACCAATCAAAATCTTAGATGCTGTAACTACGAATACGAACAACGCAGGTGTTTCTTTCAATCCCGCCTTTTCTTGTACTACAAATAAAAATTCTTACAATATTTATTTTTCTTCGTAATATCATTTTAAGATATTTTTTACAATGATTTAAACGCGAAGAGATAAATGGTGACTCTGCCGCTAGTCCATTTGAAAGTACAATTGAACTGTCTTTCAATTACTTACATTAAAGCCTCTTTTTGTTCTGCGATTGGAACAAAAACCATTTCCGGTTTTTTTTTTCTAAATTATATTCAATCCATTTGAACTCAACAATTAATGAAACTGTTATTCCCTTTTTAGTAATCACGTGTGGTACATACTTTTGTAAGGGAAACATTAAAGGGGAAATGAAGGAAGAAATTACAAGAATCATTTGATGTTTATTTAAAAAAAAAAAGGAAAAAAGAATGTCATTTCCGTCGATGTATTTCATATGTATTTGTACATACACCGTTTGGATACAATGAAAATTATATTAATAATGCTGTAAAACATTTATCATGGCGTAAAAAGATTCATCATATCTCTCTCTCTCTCTCATTTCCATGACCAGAACTAATTAGGGATAAGTGTCATCAAGTTGAGAGCACCGAGTTCCCTTTAGAGTTTTAACAAATTTATTTTCATTGTTTACAATTTAATTACAATAACTCTCACAAGATCTTTCGGACTCTTATTTGATAAGCCTAGCAATTATCTCTATGTAGTCACTATTTATAACGACTTTCAAATCAAAACTCTGTTTTATCAATCGACCTGACAAGATTGCAAAACTAACGACAGAAGTTATGGTTATACCTGTGGTAGGCGTTGTTAATAATAACCAAATATACGAAAAGTTTCATTGTACTTTATCGTGGAAATTGATAGCCACCAGTGGCATAACCGAGCCCAACGCCACGTTGCGTGTGGGTGGTAGCACGTGCTACTTCATACTGTTGTTCCATATTGTTAAACATTTCCTCTTGTTTCTTTAATATATCTGGCTTAGCACCTGCCGTCGTAGCGGTTGGTAAATCATCCTTAATACCCATTAACCGTTTGAACTTCGCAGATACTTTTCCATCCTGGTCATGAGTGAATGTTGTACCGACCCACGTGTTTGCAGTTGAAGCTGTTGTGGACGATGTTTTTCCTTCATCCTGTTTAGACTAGAAACAAAAGAATCATGTCATGAATTTACAGCAATGTAATGTAAAAAAAACAGACCGATCTTAAAATCTAGAAACCTTACCTTATTCGCCCATAAGAGTTTTCTCTTCTGTATCTGTTCAGCGTACTTTCCTTGTGTCGCCGTTGCCAAAGGATTATAGTAATTTTGTTCGTTCTGAACACCAAGTGTCGGGGTATCCCCTTCTGGTGCTTTCAATTCAATTCCCAACTTTTCTAATTGAGCCAATTTGTTCCTGCTCTTTTCCTCTCTGTAACTCATCGTACGAAATGGTGGCGGTGCACGGTCTCTAGATCTTGACCTTGAACGTGTACGATCCTTCTCCTTGTGATAATTAGATCTATTATCATCACGATGTCTATCTTTCGACCTGTCGTCCCTAGAATGCCTGCGCTCGCGATCCCTGTCCCTGTCTCTGCGTCTATCTCTATCGTTTCTGTCCCGATTACGATCCCTTCTATCATCACGGTAGTGATGATCTTTATCATTCTTTTCTCTGTCATCGCTCTTCTCGTCACGACTGCACCCCAATGAACTCTTGTCTTTCTTCTTATCATCGTCTCGACTTCTCTTTGTATCTCTACTCTCTCTGTGACTACTCTCTCGTTGCCTTCTATCATCGTAGGAAGATCGCCGTCCTTTATCGCTCATATGTCTGTTACGATCAGACCGAGCTCCGCGTTTGTGGTCGTCTTTGGAACTTGCTGTATGATTTTCATGATCAGATCGCCTGTAAAACGATTACGTTCTGCAGGGTATACCACACAGATTCGTATTATTATTCTGTATGTATTACGTGGTAAATATGTTGCAAGTTTCTCTTATAAATGTAAATAGAAGCGACATTGAAAGCAGAACACTCATGTTCTGGAGGAAAATATACTCATGAACAAACCAGCTCACCTCTGGTCTGAGGGGGAAGGTAATGGTCGGGATGCATCTGTCCTTGACTGTGTTACTGGGCTATTTGCACGTTCGCTACTGGATTCTCTGGACGAATTGTTGTTATTGCTTTCCTAAAGAAATAAAAAAGATTCAAGTTACTATACACCTTCCACGCATTATAGTAAATGAAACATAAATCTTGATTTACATTACAAAAACTATATTATAAATTACATTTTAGTACCCTCAATTTAGCAACAATCAATGTTCCATACACCATAACTTTGTATCCTATGATTATAACAAGTAAATCGTGATAAACACCTTCACAATCTTAATTATAAAATTGCTATTCGTGTGAATATTGAGTCTGCAACATTAATGATAGCCATATTAGGATAACTAAATCCCAATGTTTGATGCACTTAAGACTAAGAATTTTTACAATAATATATTATTAATAATAATAAATAACTTATTTCTCACAGCCTTGGTTGTACTTGATACAAAAGTTTTTTTTTTCAATATAAAAATTTTTATTTACTACATATCTTTATGAATTGTCAGTTCAGTTAATGTTCAGTGAATGAACAAAATTTACAGGGTGCAACCACTGCATAGAAGAGAAATTATAGGAATATGAGGGCCCTTCATATTTATCTGCTTTAGCAGTTTAGTTATTACCCGAATGTGTTTGTACACGTGGTTTCTTTGATGGTTGATTTTTTGTTAGTGTTACCTTCTTCCAGCTTCCTCTACTCACCTCTGTTTGCTGAATAGGACTTGGGGTAGTCTTGAAAGACCCTCACACAGCATAGACCTTGCCGAGGTGCGTAGATATTGTATCATGTATTACCAACAGAGCTACGTGTTAATATTTTCTCACGAAATGGCACTATACCCATTTACTTATTATTTAAATTTTAAATATTTCAATGTCTACTCTCATTGTTTCTGCCACACAATAATTTAAGGTCATGTCTTAATTAAGTAAGGGCAATATTACATTGAAACGTGAATAATACAATAATTTATCTCAGATGCAAAATCTATTAGTATAACAAAATAATAAAGTTGTTTCCGAGTTTATTTTCTGACAAATCAATAGATATTTCACTGTCCATTACAAAGAAACTTCCTTTATTGTCTTTCATGTATGAGGATGTTCATGTATTTCATATATTCTTGTAACAGTGGAAGGATCCAAACAAAGTGCTGTGACAAAACTAGATTTCATTTATGTGGTTCTGACATGACCTCCAGAAACCAAGTACTAAATAGACCTTTTATATAACCGGTATATGATCCTACATGTATATACAGCCCCCATAAAGTCACCATGGTCCTAGTAATTGTTGTAATGTTTCATACTTAACACAATGAAAAAACATTTGCAAACATTCAATTTCACTGTACCTCACTCATGTCCATTTGTACTGGGTCATAATTGGCATCGCTGGCTCTTTCACTGGCATCACCATGTATTTCATACGACATCTTTGAAAAACAATATTCACAATGAGATGTTTAATAGTTCACATGCTAGAAACTTCTTATACACTATGGGTATATTCTTATTAACTAACGTTACTTTAGTACCAATTTTAAAGTCGATACTAGAGTTATACACACCTCTGTACGAATGTTTTGACTCGATACAAGTGAGTTAATCTCATAATTATGTTTTAAATATACCTTTTCAATTCGTTTACGATCAATCATGCAAGTACATTGGTTACATGTAATAGGTTCACGAATAGGTCTACATAAATATATAGTATGCAGGAGGCAGTTACAGAATTACATGATTAAATTTAGGATAACAAGAAGCGTATTTAAAACAAAACATTGATTCGTTCATTGTCAAAAAGCTTTTTCACGACTTGAAAATCTATACCAGGAGCCATAGTATCGAGTGTGTGTATACTCAACAATTTTTCAGGCGTCATGGATGCCAAGGCAAAGGTACCACGCACGGTTTTCACAAGCAATTTATAGGTATGTACTCACCTTGGGATCTTCCGAATTATTACTATTATCCCCATCACTGGCGTAATTCGCTAATGAATCCATAATGGCGTGAATACGGGGCACGAAATATCCGAAATTATTACGACTATCGTGGTGCGTCGATCCTAGGCTGCCTTGTGCAGAAACGCCGTTGGTCGAGTCTCGAGAGTGTTTGACGAGCAAGTTTGTATTATGCTTTCATAGCGCTTCCATCGAATGAGGTTAGCGAGACGGAAGTAGAAGGAGAAGGTGGGATACAGGAAATGCAGCACAACGGGCAAAATTAGGCGCGAACGTGAAAATTTCGTCGCAATTTCTTCCCTATCGACGAACGATTGATATAATAGAACTTCACGTGTCCTGCTGATCGTAATGGGTTGTATATAAACGAAACAATCAGTATCGATCGAACAACAAAATTGTATGTACATGTATGTAAGAATGTTTCCTCATCGGACAAACGAGAATACATATGTACATATTCTATTATTATTACATAATGCTAAAAATAACTTTCAGGGGAAATGTAATCCACTCTCCTTATGGAATACGAAAAGAATCAAATGGGAAAATTGACCGAAAAATCTAGGTTAGGTAGAAACAGGTAGAAATAACAGCAAAAGCCGGGTTGCGTCTAAACACCAAACTGCATTTTGACTTGTTGAACATGTCTGTTTAACGGTTTCAAATCCGTCTTGTACACCTGGTTCGAATGAATTCTAATAGCTCACTTAGGTATAAAACAATTATTGTAAATAATTGGGATCATTATTTTTTATTTATTGGTTCGATTCACATGTTCAGAGGATACCGAAGGTGCACGGAAGATGTTGCAAAGGTGGGTATAGATGTAGAGAGCACTCGCATTGACGTTTACGCGGGGAAAAGCACGAGCCGGCGTGCAGTGCAAGCCGCAGGGGAGTCGTGTGACTCGTGTCGTGGACAAACCGGGACGCAACAGTCGCTCGCCAGACTTCGTGCTGGAGCTTGGAGCTGTTGTCTGGAGGTATGATTTCATCCATTCGCACCACTTTGTGATTCTTTTTCCAAAATATCTGTCCGAACGACAACTGAAGAAAAAGTGCAGTGAATCTGGCCTCCTGGGGGTGAGTGATTTTATTCACATTTTCTTTGATCACGAACACCGTTCTATTCGGGCAGCAACCTTATCAATACCTGAATCAAAGTACACATCTCGGTGCATACGTCCCCGTTGTCGATTCTCTCATATAACACTCGGGATCTACGTGACCCCGTTTTCGTCTTAAATCGTAGTCAATTGTTTTTAACGGACGACATCCTTCATTGGCAAACTCTCCACGCCGTGAATGGACCATAGTGCACCGCGTTACGCTTTTTTTCACGTTCTTATTCTATTAATTAATCCCGCAACAGTCTGATTTAATTAACGGATACAGTTTGACGTTTGTGATTTGTCCGTGTCTCGTTCATACGCGTGTCGGGTTGTTCGATTTTAATTGTCTACAACCTACGATTATCCCGCCTTTTGTTGCGATACAACGCTGTGAATAATCCGTGAAATTGAACATTTTTCTTAATCCATAATCTATTGGAATAATTGGTTGGTCTTTCCTTCCTCACGGAGAAATCTTATGAACGAGTTTGATTAGGTTACAAGTCCGTTCATTTTTAATTCATTTATAACGTCGTGCACGGTATTTACTTACCGTCTCTTCGCCTTTAGCATTTTCGATCACGTAAGTGAAATAGCATTTGCAAGTGTGTCGATTGATTTGCCATCGTTCATATTTTCTGTGATAACCACGCTTCATAGCAAACGTCGCAACAATTTTTTTCATGTAAATTCAGTCGTATCTACACGCATAAACATGAACTATTTCGCTGATTGTCCGGCGTTTTTATCGGGAAAATATCGAACTAATGTTTCACAGAAATGCGAATGCCTCTGTGCGTCTAATGATGCTAATGGAAATGGGACAGCATCGTACATAATATATGTCATAACGTCCATGAAAATGATCACGCGAATAGATCATTTTTCACATTCATTCAGTGAGAACGCGTAAGTACGCATTTTCAGTGACGATCATTTGCTTGCCACGTTCTTAGATCGGTCAACGAATGTAAACAGTTTCTTTTCCGATTGTCAGCGAGGAATACATGTCCATACAATCTAACAGAATTCGTAGAAACCGGTTCCATTCTTTTTATAAAGATGATATGGCGGTCGATATTTGTTCGTTCTAATTGAATCGATGCGTAACATCGATCTAAGAGTGATACACGAAATCGGGACTTTGAACGTTAGTGTTTTTTTTTATGGACTTTCCCATCTTCCATATTTAATGATTCGGCGCACACCTAAAACCGTTACTTTATTTAAAAACATAATATGACGCGAAACCTTTCACGAGGTGCTACGAAAACTCAATGAAATTGTATAATTCAGCTGAAACGAAAGTGGGATACGTACAGTGGATAACAAAGTAATTGCGTACTTAGATGTCTCGTAGTAAGTAGTTAACAGTTGACGGTAGAACTTTTTTTGTCATAATCTGAGAACTTATCAAATTGTTTTAAACAAGTGAATGACCAGGTTGGTCCTATGAACATATACTTTTGGGAAACACAAGAGGAAAGATTTTCTTTGTAACAAAGCGTTATTGGAATCGACGAAGCTGAAAGTTACAACGAAAATGAAGTACCGATGCTGGACACGCTCTATGATCAGGAATCGTGTTTAACCCCTGTGATTTCGTAACGATCGGAACCCACGTATCACACACACACACACACACACACGCGGTTCAAAGGTATAAAGACTGCTTTGGGTACATGTGAAGGGCCATTAAGGCTCGCGACGTATAGCTAGCTAGAACCGGAGACGATAGAAAACTCAACGAACGGCGTGATTAATTTCGAAAATGCAGTTACGAACGAAATTATTCGTTGCTGCGAATACCGTCAGACTTTGCGGCGCTCACGTTCGATGGTTATTAATTAAATTTAGTTCAGGCTGTTGAACATTTTGTTAATACTGTTGCCATTAATTACAGACCGGCAGACGACTTCGTTTTTAACTCGAGTTGCGACGACGGATCGTTAAATTTCTGAAGACGCTATTGTCGCTAGCAAATGACAAGACTTTCCGTGAAATAGGTTCCGTTCTCCAAAGACTAATAAGTATCAACGAATCGCTAATATACATGTACATAGGTATGTATACTTATCGAATCCGCGGCGATGCAATTTCCCGGTCGGGTCGGCTTAGAACCGTTCTTGGCTTGGTATCGACTACCGTTAACCGTCGAAGACAACCGGCGAGCATGGCGTGCGGCAAAATTCATTGTACTCGCGGTGAACGTGATTTTACTTTTACCGTGTCGGGGGTTGGGGGGGGGGGCTGTAATCTGCGATCGAAAAGATTCTCTGGGAGTCGATTCGCCCGGATGACGATGCTCCATGGGACTCCTTTTCCTCGTTTCTTTTCCACCGTTCGTCGTCCTCTTCGGTGCACGTGTCCTGTTCTCGTATACGCTCGCGAGCAACAAGGAAGAGACTACGGCGCACCGTCGTGGTTCCGTTATCTGCCGCGCGGTAAATATACGTCGAGCGTCCGGCTCGTCGGAGAAAATAAACAATATTGGTATGCACCGATCCGTACATTATTAATATACTCGTGAACTACATAGTGCACTGCTCCGTGCTGTTGCTCTTCATTCTGCATATATAATCACCACTGTGCGTGGCCGTGGACTGGCTGCGTCCTGTTCCAGGATAAAACTTTAAAATGAATTACCGAAGTTACTTGATTCTAATCTGGGATCGAGAGTTAGCCAAGGCACAGAGTTCATTCCAACGTTAAGAAATTTTTGTAGGTCGATGTCTCTTTATTTGTAAAAGATCATAATAAGAGAACTATAGATATGTACTGGAATTGGAATCAAGTAGTTTCGTAACGAATCCCGAAGTTGGGTTAACGGCGGAAGTACCGGAGGCACCGTTTTCGGATCTAGCTGTACAGCATCCAGCAGTGATTCTCGATGGAAAAGGAAGCTGCTACATATTACCTTCGCCGTCTGGAAAGTCGAGTGAAAGAAACGGCAACTAAATATCATAGATAACAATGCAAATCATCGAAACGACCGTCTGACAATCGGAAAACGAGCCACACGCACGACAGCTGCGAGGAAAACTAGGGGCACCAAACGTGTAATCACCGTATAGGGTAGAGGAGAAACAGCGCAATCACCCCGTACCTGCATAATATGCTTTCGAAAGCTAGCTCGTAGCTTCTTGCATCGTAGAAGGGGTGCAACACGCCGAAGGGGAGAGAAAATCGTGGCGAAACAGTCCGGGGTTGGTGATGGGGTTGAATTAGGCGTCAAGCCGTGCGACCGCTTGAATGAGTAATTCGAATCGATCGTGAAATCTGTCTCGTCTACGGTTCTTCTTTTACGTAGTCCCGCGCGAATTCAAAAGAAAACCCCCATCAACCAGACCCGTACCCCATCGCCTGGTGTCGAGTGGTGTTGCGAAGGTGAGCCAGACGATTTGTGAGACACAAACGTTGTTTGCGATGGTTGGATCTAATCTGCATTGAGAAATTTCAGGTTTCATATCGGTAACTGTTGTGTGAAATAGTTGGGTGGGCGTGGATTTTGTTTAGAACGTTAAATAGAAGGGGTTGAATTAGGTTGATCGTCATTCGATATCGTAGTCGTAGTCGAATAGGAGGATGTTGACTGGACATAATTTCAGTTGAAAACTTGTCAATTGCAATAATTAAAATCTCTTTCACCAACTGTGCTACACTTTATCACTACTTTCTCCAATTTCAGACTTTCTCGCAATTCTTACAAGTTGTGTTTTATTTCCGGTAGGCAACCAAAGGGAAGATTGAGACGTGTGTATACCGTCCGAGTGAAGCCGAGTATCCTCGTTTCCTGCGTGTCGCTCAGCAATGCAATTAAGAAACGTGAAATCATTAGAAATTTCCGGTTGAGCTTCTCTCCGTTTTATCTTGAGAACCTCTGTCGTGCCCGATGCTTTTCCAGCTCGTTAAACGAGAAGCAATCATTCCAACAAACAGAATTTTTCGGAAATTAAAAGAGGACAATTTTGGCAAGAATTTATGTAATCGCTGGTAATTCGTCACTACGAAAGAATCTAAAGTCGTAAACAGACACGGAGGTGAAACGTATGTATGTATAGTAGGTCTTCCTCTTGCACGATTTCATTAACCCAATTCTCGAGGCTGTAGTTGTCGTGTTAGAGTAATGCGTAGGCGGAAGGACACGCATATGATGTTTCTCACACGAGTCTGTTGCGTGCAGGTGACATCCGTTCATGTTTAAACCCTCGTTTTCTAACATTACATTAATTGCCACCTAGTAATGTTACCCGAATTGATAACATTTAAAAAAATGTTTAATATCCCTTATCGTTATCGATCAGAGAAGAAAAGACGTGGACGATTTTAATCACCCTACTCGATTGAAATATAAATCGTTCTGGGAGGGATACTGAATTACTTATTCTTCATATTTCAGTACGGCGACCGAAAAGTGTTCGATAATTTGAAGTCAATCGCTAAATCGAATTAGGTCATCGTCCTGCAATCGTAACGCGGCCCTGAAGGAACGATTGCATTTAATTGCAGTGGTATCAAACGTAAGGATAGATTTCAAGGTGTCCGGAGCGAACGTTGACGTAATCGACAACCTGTTCTCGATGACGTAAGGAACTAGTTGTGTTCGGAGGACATCCAGATACCGCAACCAGAAAAAGAATGTTTGTCTATGTATCCATTTCTAAAAAAATGTCCGATCGTTTTGTCATTGTCGCTTCTCCCGTTTTAGCCAATTACACGCTTCGGAATTCGATGGTCCGTTCGAAGAGACTTTAGGGTACGGGTACAAGCGATTCCAACGATTTATAAAAACGCAAGAGACATCCGGCTAAAAATAGAGCCGAAGTAAAGGCTTGAAACTATGATGTTTCAATCGCTCCTATATTTATTGGGCGCGCGTCGTAATCACAATCATGACTTCCGTTCGCCGTAATGCGGACCAGCTAACCATTAAATGAATCTCACCGGCTTAAAAGGCAATGTTCGCACGTAACTATTTATAGGTTGTGTACGTTTACGATGGAAAAGAAAGCTGGCGCGAATTACAGTGTGAACAATCTGCACACGTGACAAGCATCCGTGGCCTGCAAGAAGCTCTGCCGACAGTTTATTTTTTTAATTAGCTTCGTCGGATAGTCACAGTAGGTACATAGTACATATACGCTGGGATTTCTGGGACGAACAGTGTCTTCTTTTGGTCTCGGGGACCGTCTTTAGATTCCCCTTATTTCAGAAACCTTTACACGTTTATACGTATGGTATCTGACGAGATTTTCTCTATTTTTATGCGAATAACGTCGGTTTATGGTCATAAGAAGGTTAATCGACAACCGACTTTCAAAACGTTCATTTATTGATCCCGAGTACGTCCAATGAAGTCTTTATATTTAACAATCATAGAGACAGAAATTGTATAGACTTCGCATCTCCCTGAAACGGGCGTCCCAAGTTTCGAAAGAGGTAGTTAGCTTTCGGAGGACTTGGCGTCCGAAAGTAACCCGTCCCTTCCGAAAGTTGGGACGCCGGCCCAGCCTGACGCGTAGTCTATATTTCTATGTCTATGGTAACAATATGTAAACGGAAAATATAACTAATATGTACGTCACAGCAAACACAAACGCGTGGAAGCTTGCACAATTTTATTGCAGGGCGAATAGCTGTGACATGTGTAACTGTGTTCAGACGGGCGGCGATCGCATCGAGACACGAAACACGACCGTCGTCGTTACAAGGGCAATTTTTTCCCTTTATCTAGTCTAGCATCGGAATTCGACAGGCAACAGCGTAGAAATTTCACGATGCGCCTGAAAACACGATAGGCGGTTCGCGTAGCGAGCGAAAACATTCGAGGCTTCCGTGACCTGTCGTTAACCCAGTTAGGGTTGCCATTCCAGTGTACGCACCTGTCGGCTACAGACCCCACGTTTATCCCATATTCGAAGGCTGATCCCATAATGATCGAAAAGCGGTTGCGGACTCGTGGAATCCACGATGGAGCGAAATGGAGCGGCGAACACGCGGAGAAACTAGTCAGCAGCCTAACAGGGCTATCGTTTCATCGTTGAATGATATCAGCTAGGCGAATACGTAACACCCGTGTTCCTCGAAGGCTGACGTTTCTATCAAAATGGTAATAATATATAATTGAAACTCGGAGGAGTACCTGCTTCGCACGGTTTGCTCGGTGAAAATACGAGGAACATCGTATTAAAGAGGAAAAGAACGTCTACCTGAAACATTCAAATCGTTCGAAAGTTACTCGACGCCCGAGTAGAATCGAACGGGTTGCCTTTCTGTTCGACCCCGAGCAGAAAGAAATACACGACGTTACTACAGCCGTGTGTGTAGCAATGGGAAAAGGGGGTGAAAAATAGCATTTCGCTTCGGGCAGCGGCAATAATCGAGCTGTCGCGCATGAAAATGCGATTCCGGGCTGAGATAAAACGGACCGATGCGAGGCAATATTTCATTCGTGTCGCTTCTGCGAATTGTCTAATGACCATTCCGATATCGGCGTTAATGATTCGTTTCTCGTCGAGCATTAACCTTTAACATTTTGTTCGAGAAAGGTAATAAAACTGACGAAGAAATGCAATTCGGAGCGAGCAATGGGAAAGAAGAAATGCCCGAGCGGCACAGAGAGCGAAGGGGTTGAAAGCGGTGATTGGGCGGCCGCCGATGCGGTTGGAACCGAGAATCGTTAAAGCTGCACTAACGGCCGCCGTCGTTAATTCGCGTTTCCTTCTTGAATGCATTAAGACCGCCGCGAAGACGGTTGCTGACCAGTTGAAACATCCGCGAGTGTGGTGGACGATTGAGTGAAACCGGCGGACGTTTAATTATTATGAGCCGTCTGCGCCGCGTAGGAGGAGGAAGAGGAGCGGAACAAGCGTGTGCTAGGTGACAGAACACGATGCCGTCATCTTTTCGTTCTCTCGTGACAATTACGTCGCCGCATAATCAGTTCAGACGAATCACGGGGAGGGGATGAATCTCCATACGGCTACGAGACGTCTTGCTGACCTGGAACGGTTGTTGTGGCTGCATCTGGAATGGTTTCCCGTGAAGTCGAACTTAACCCCTTAAACATTAAACTATCCTGTGACTTATGTAAAAATTACGACCATGAGGAAACACGTGATATTTTTGAGAAATATCATTTCTATTTAGTATAAGTATTTATGATGATCAGACTTGAAAATAATGAAAACTACAGACAGTAACAACTGTTCGGTACAACCTGGACACATGTTCACAACATAGTTTAGTGATCTAGGGTTAAAGAAAAATTGACAAACGGACAAACTAAGATATATGTACATGCATGTACTTGCGTATTCTCATTTCTCTTGAAGATACAGCTTTTCACCACGAGTTTTATACGTACATATGTATGTGTAAGTACGTACCCTCACAAGGAAACTCGGCTTTCGATAGGGGAAAAACTGGCGTAAGGAAAGGGCCTTGAAGGGCCTGTTACCTCTTGGTTTCGGAAGTTACTGAAATTTATGTCAAATTAACATTCAGTTTAACATTTATTTCAGAACTTGTTTTAAATTTACCGAGTGGTATGCGGCCCTTCAACTACGCTACTTTTTTAAGTAATGTACAGGGATTAGATTGCAACGGTGAAGCGTACTTTTGTCATTTGAATCCGAGGAGAATTGAATAAGCTGTAAACGCGAGCCGACGGTAGCCGCGTCTCTGCGTTGTCTGGAACATTTGATATTGCATCCTCACCCCTCGAAATAGACTCAACGCTTGAACCCCGAAGGGTTGAGGGCGTATTAAGTGTGTACGAAACGCTCGAGGCACTTGCGCCTACAGATACGTTTCTCCAATCTTCCTTGCGGAATTAAAGCGACGCAGGTACGCGGACTCGAGGAGATTCGTTCATGGGAACACACCTGTCCCTCCGAATGAAAGATCCGGAGAACCTGTTTCTTGTGAAACAAACTTTAAGGTCTGCTACCCACTTATCGGTCGAAACTTGTAAATACTTAAGGAGATTAATTTCATTCATTATTCATACCAGAAGCACCGCTTATATCACGTCGTTCCATAAGTAGTGCAGCATTAAAATATAATTCCAAGTTTAAAGAGCAATTTTTCGTTTACCTACGCAAGATACGTTAGGTATACAGTTACTGTCTTACAAATGTATCGATGAAAATTCAGAGACAAAAGTGTGTACTGAAGTAATATCTATCACGAACGAAATACAATGCCTGAACTTCTTATTACTAGAGGTACCTTGACTAGAGATAACTTAACTCAATACATATATATGTATATATACAACTCAAGTACTCCGTATTACTCTCGACTGGGAGATGATAGATCGATTCGGTGATATTTTGGCACATCTCTTCGATATAACACTTGTATTTATCTTGCTATGAATTCTCGTGGCTTCGAGATTCTAGCTACTCCAATTCCTGTTAGCAAAACATCGATATAGGTAATAAAGAATAAAATGTATCTGGAGGAAAGCAAGACAAAAATACCAGTAAGATCCTCCTAGATGGTTTATTAAAATATAATTATTTTGTTTTCAGCGTACGGAACCACCGCGCCATTAAGAAGCTAGCCGGAAGTCGAACGTTATAAGGGGACCATTCGTCGTGTATCATCGTCGATGGAGTGAGTCGAATTTATAATCGTTGATGAACCTATTGATTCCTTAATTACATACAGGATCGAAACTAATACATGAATGTGTTCGATTTTGGATTAAGGATTGAGTTTTAACGAAGGAACGATTATTTTGATTGAAATGTAGCTAAAAGTGGACCAAAAAAATGGTGATAGGAGGAGGACCATCGGCGTAATAGACGGCCTTGGGTCGTCTGGAATTCCTCGATTATTTGTACCTGCGATTCAAAGAAAGGTCCGGATATATTCAAGATGACGATAACGGCGTCCACGGAAAGAATGGAGACCACGAAAGGCTTGCCGAAAATGAAGTTTATCAATGCCAATCTCCTTTCACTGAAACTCCTATTATTCCTATTCTTTGGAGGTACGTGTGGGTCGAGTGGAGCAAGTTGAATAGATCCATTAATTTCTAAAGATGACAGAATAGTAACTAATTTGAAATGTAGAAATGAATGACTGAAATGTGTTTATTTTGAAATTCTATTATAGAATATCTCTTTCCTATTTATGTTTTTTAATATGTACGTTCTACTATCTGCACTATACTTACCTATGTATTATATGTTTTTATTTCTTTGACACATTATATAACGTTTCTCTGACGAGTAAAATCATATTCACAGGAATGGGCTGCCTCTAAGATCCGAATGATTTCAATGATCTCGCCAGCGATAGCGATCGTAGGGCCCCTGATTGCCAGTCCCATTGCCGACAAATTGGCGGGTCATCAGGGTAGAAATAAGTCATCGACGGGTCGTTATCTTCGGGTGATGATCGCGATCGCTTGCATCCTGTCTGCCATTTTCTATGCGTTTCTTTTAATCATTCCATCCGTGGATCACGTCGAACTGCCTAAAGGAAGAAGGCCGGGCCTAAAGTTTAACTGCGACCAGACAGGTGCAGTGGTGCTGCAAGAAAGATGCAAGGATCGTGTTTCTTGCCACAGATGGTTTGACGATACTAGGGCTGGACCGTTGCTCTTGGAAGACTGTAATTACGCTTGTTATCCTGTCGGATCGAAACGATGGCGCACCGACAATGATGGCTTCACTGCCTCTGGGACCATTGACTCTGATATCGGAGTTCTAGACGGTAGCGGTGATACCACAGTGATTCCTCTAGAGAGTGAAATGTATACGCAGGTGAATATCCCAAGAGAATTAATTCACTTTAGACACTGTCAAGACTAAAGGGCATACCAGGGGTATATCGTTTTCATGTCCTAAAGCCGGATTTCGAATTGATTCGACACACTGTACTTTTGAACCCAGAGCCAACCATGACCATGATACAGTAAGAAACATTGAACATTTTACAGGAACAGGAGGAATCCAAGAAGAATCGCAGATTCGCAATGGCCGATAGCGAGCCGCCGCATTTATGCTACAAAGAGGGTGACAGTGTGGTGTGCCACGTTTACACCGAGTACACTGGTAATCTGGCTTTAAACGCTACTCTGGGTCAAGCTTTGAACAATGAAAGCGACAGAGAGTGGTGTGCGTATCCTCTGGCTGAGTATTTCGCTTGTCGTATACCCCCAGAACTGAAAGCGAGAATGGCAGAGGTCTATCAGAGCTGTTCCATCGAATGCAACTTGGTTGATCCATACACGCTTCCAGGTAGTATCGTCTTCTGATGTGTCATCGTTAAGTACATCCTGTGAATATCCGGAATCCGATAAACTTTATCGCAACTTCTCTTGCAGACAGTGTTTTCATAGAGAGTCAGTGCCAACGGACAGAGGATTGGTCGCATTTAGTATTCTGGACATACTTGACGATTCGTTCGGTCGCTGATATTTTCCCAACTACAGCTGTAACTTTAATTGACGCTGCAGTCGTGATAGCTACGAGAGAAACGTCCTGCGGACGTGGAGATGTGGGTCGTCAATTGGCCTTTGGTTCCCTGGGCTTTGCTATTTTTGGCCCAGTAACGGGCTACCTCTGCACTTTGCTAGAAAACTTAAATTCCTTCTACTACTTGCCAATCGCACTACACGTTGCTATGATGCTTTTAACGGCTCTCGTTGCGATCTGTGCTAATGGTATGCCTCTGAGTCCACCAGAATGGTGGTGGCACACTAGAAGTGGCATGCTAGCACTTCCCATGAGTGCTATCAAAAGGTATGGCAGTGAGACTGCTGCTTTGGTAATCATACTTATTGTCATGGGAACTTTTTGGAGCGCCATGGATAGTTACCTGCCATTGTAAGAGTTTTAAAGATTTTAATTCAATGACTGGCTCAAACTCAGCCAATTCTAACGTTTCTTTCATTGTTCAGACACTTACAAAAATTAGGGGGCAACGAGTTACCTATTGGTGTAGCTATGACCGTAGGAGCGATACCGGCATTCTTATTCCTTTGGAAGTCTGAACATCTTGTCGATTATTGCGGCCACAGTAATCTCCTCATTACTGCCTTTACTGTGTATATTATTAGGTAGGTAAGTTATAATATTACCGCAATATATGTATGTGTATACATATATCATAAAAATTCATTTAACTCGTAATAATAAGTTTCTAAAATTTATTTTCAGGTTTACTGGATTGAGTCTCGTTTCGGGACCTTGGTGGTCCCTTATTTCGGAAGCTCTCGAAGTCTTTACTCTTGGTATTATGTGGGTGACTGCCATTCTCTATCTCAGACATCTTGTCCCACGGCATTTAACCGTAACTGCCCAAGCATTACCTGTGATTGCGCATTTCTGTATCGGTATGCATGCCGAAAGAAACTTGAATCGTTAATTAAACCGTAATTGTTTGTAGCCAAACAAGTTTGTCTAAGTAATTCAAATGTCTCTGTCTTCTTGGTATAGGTCGGTGTACCGGAGCCGTGATTGGTGCTTATATAAATGTCGACGACTCTGATATCGTTGACTCGTTGAGATTCGTTTATCGTTGCATGGCCATTGCAGCTGCAGCCGTCGCCGCCTTGTATTTCGTACTCTATCATGGCCTATTGAAGCCGCGGTGTCATGCACATACTATACAGGGCCCTCGACAACCACCCACCGTTGTGCAGGGTAAGCATAATTATCAGTACAGATACGGGAGCAATTGCAACTAACATAAATTCCATTTCATACACAAGCTGCAATTAAGGAATACGAACTGAGTGAGTATCCTGAAATCATTGAAATGGTTTGAATCACAGTTACGATTGTTTTCGTTATTTTAAACGGCAGTATCACTGTAAGAATGAAAAGAAACGCACTGAAATGGCTAATAGTTTTCTGATACACTGTTCATTTCAGATAGATTAAACGCAAACCGATATATTTCAGTTGTTATATCCATGTAAATAACATCCTTTCTCTAACATTTGCCAAAGTCCTTATACATATAGTCCTTTACACGTAATACTCATAACATTTCTCCTTGCATGCAGCGAACGCCAAAAGGTCAATGGAATATTAGAATCTATTAGATACGCCTGCAGGAAAATGTCAATGTACTTGTATATGTATATTTTATGCTTGACAAATTATGCTTCATTGTAAGGAGCTGATCAATATTTTCATCAATTATTTTTATATATACTTTGTTCTGCTATTTGATTCGTTTAATTTTACAACATTTCTTTTATTTTTTATAAAACAAGAAACATTCTTTTTCTGCTATTTTTAGATTATAGGTATTACCTTTTTTTTCTTTTTCTTTTATTAACTTCTGCTACTATTTTGTTAAATAGTTAATTTAAGTTTTAGTTATATTTTTCTATCAGTTATTTTATCATCCCTTCTCCCTGTTTCTTCTATGCACAGCAATGAACGGAAATGGGAATTACACACCGCTCAGAGTCTACCACAACGGTATGGGCAGAAAAGGTCAATTCCGCTATTGAGGATTAAAAAAGGAAAGAGAAGGGCGTTAACGACACTTTAAATGTCATGTAAGGTGCTAGCGATTAGACTGTCGTTGTTTGTTGCAGTTCAAAACAAAAAAGAAAGAAAATGATAATTGTTAGGTGACACGTTGCGAAAGTACATATATCATCCAGTGGCGCAGTCTTTAGCATTTTTTTATGCTATTCTCAACTTGCGTCACCCCTTGATACTATCGTTGTTTTTCATTCCACAATCAGTCACTAAGGATTTCTTTGCTCAAATGTACTTTAAAGCGCTATTATGAGCTTGCTACATGTGTCTGTACCAATATGAGATTACAAATAGAGGTAGAAGTATTCAAATTTTGAGCCGTATATATTTTTTAATTGTCTTCGAAAGGACATCATATTAGATATGAAGTGATCAATGAAGATTTTCTTCTTAAACTTTTGGAGTGTCAAGATATTTAAATTTATTATGTTAATGAGAATTGATAAATAATTTTGTTGTTTTTTTGTTTCACAAACGAAAATTAATTTTCTGAGGAGAAGAAGAAAGCAACGGCTCATAATTTCTGAGTACTTGGACGTAACTACATTTCAGATCGTAGTTACGACATACTAAACAATCACTGTGGTGTCTTCAAGTGTAACAACAGATTTGTAATGCTTTTTCTTACAGTCATTGTATTGTTTGTAAGCGTGCAAACGATTTTTTTTTTGTTATACTGAAAAAATGGTACGAACTGTGTTTTCGTAATGTTGTGTTCGATTCTTTTGTACAGTCGACTGCGATCGCGTAAAGACGTTACGTGTTCGAACTGTTTTTACAAGAAAAATTTCTATGGACATGTTGTATTGTACCTATACATATGTATAATGAGAAATATTCATCTATCTGCGTAAGATAAAACTTTACCTGACCGATAAGAGAAAGTAATAATATATTGAATTCTAGGATCGTTGTGTGTACAAGAGGAAGGAGAAAACGAATGAGAAATTAATAAAACTAAATAAGAAAAAATAGACTTCCAATACAGTGTTTACGATTTATGAATATATTGTATGTATTAAACATCTGTAACTATAAGAAATCGCGACATAGACAAAAAGAAACAAGGTGCCTTGAATTCGTTAAATCCTGTTTAACAAATCAAAGAATAAATAATGCCTAAGGTGTATTACTTAAAATCTTGAATGCATCTGTGCCACGTTTATTCAAGAAAAATAGCCGCGTTCCAGGGTATGTAATAAATTTATTTGAGTAGAATTTGATTTACCTGAAATTAACAAACGAATTTGCGAGTATCATGGAAATGTTCGCTTGCTACAGCTCAGAATACAGTTGCTAAGCTAAAAGTAATCTATCGCGGATCATACAAAACAACGATCATCGTTAACATACTTTTACGACCACCTTGCCCCTTTTACGGGCACTCATTCATCCATATCTATCATACATGTATTACCTAAACAAATATAGGTGTAGCAGTAAGATTGCATATTTATATAAATTCTGGAAATTTATCGAATTCACCAGCCACATGCTGACGCATTCCAACCGTTTCAGGAAATATTTCCAAAGTGTGTGCAGTCTTACAGAGTAATTTTAAATGACAGTATTACGAGCATAACAAAATTGTGTTTTTGTTGGTAATAAAGCAACTGTTATCGAATATGAAAAAATGCGATTTAATGTTACCGACAGAAATCGTTAAAAAAATTTTACATTACTCTATATTAGGCGATGCATTATATACATATACACGAAAGTCATGACACTTTCAAATACGGTTATAAAAAAAGAACAGTTTCATCGACCACCTTTTATGCAGTTCTATGAATACATATAAATACGCAATATTTCATCTGTCTAATGAGAGTTCTTTCATTATTTAACAAATACATTTCGATTCGCCTGAAATGTATATTTAAAAAAAAAAAATACATAAGAATCAATTCGAAATTTTGTAACGAATTGTTTAAATTAAGATATCGATAGATAACATTCGGAATTTATGCGCTGGTAGACTGCCTTTCGATTCTCCAGATACACTTGACCATAAATAAAATTTTTCAAAGCAGTACCTGCATAAACAATTAATTAAATGAGATGGAGAAAAGTTCTAAAAACAATTAGAGTTTTAATGAAATTTGCGATAGTCTCTTACAATTATTATTTAATCATCAATAATAGCACAGTCGTCTTCATTATTTCCTGCAGAATTTATGGTATTGCAGTTAATTGTGTTCGTATTTTTACTACCTTCCGTAGGTATATTTGCTACAAAAATTTGATTATCGGTAGAAAAACGTTTTTCATGCGATATAGTTTTTTCCTGTGCATCACTAACAGGTGCAGACGCATTTTCCAGACCCTTTTTACCTAAATCACTGTTCATGCTGGGAACCATTTGTACAAACTCCTTTTCCTGAGAGTGATGTGTAATAGAATTTACGTCCTGGTGTAGAGGTGGCTCTGAATTACTATCCTCCTCTTTATTAGAGGATCTTATATCATTACTGTCACTGGACATAACAGATTTGTCCATGGTTTCCAACATCTCTGAAATGAATGGTGAATTGGCCTCTATCAAGTCTTTTAACGGTGTTTCATTTGGATCAGGTAGATCCTTGGACTCTTCAGACTCAACACTTTCCGAAACTATGCACGTTTGCAAATAATGAATAAACTGTTCTTCATAATTTTCAAATTGTTCCTGTATTCCCGACTTTGTATCAGATTTCTTCGTGGAAGAATGCCTTATACACTTATCATAGTCGTCCAATTCACCTTCAAATACCTGTACAGTCTTATTTACGAATGAAATACAATCGTCGCCTACAGCACGGGACGTAAAAATTTTTTTCTTAAACGATTTTAATCCATCTACCACGTTTGTAGTACCAACAAATTCTGACGGTTGTATAATATTGTTTTCAAATTCACTGTTTTCGGTATCGGAATCAGATTCGTTGACGCAGGTCATATCAAGGGGTATTACTGCCTCTTTCACCTTCTGGGAATTATTACTTTCCGATATTGGAGTGGTAGTTGATTTCAACTGATACCTTCTCCATCGATTATATTCACGCACTATTCTGTCGTTAATACATGCTAATTGAGACACAGTATCCCGGATCTCGCGGTGAAAGTTTTTTATTGTGACACGAGCATCATTTAGTCCATACTTTTTCGTTTCTTGTAGCTTGGATATTTCGAACAAACTTTGAAGTTTAGTCCTCAAATTCGTCATAATATTATCAATCTCCTGACCATGAGGGATCAATCTCTGGTTAAGAGTTTTCACTGTGCACCTCTCTGACAGTTCTGGCTTTTTTACAACAAAACTATAACTCTTTGAACTCACAAGGGCAATAGGTACGGCTTTATTGTTATCAATGTGATCTTTAAAGGAACGGGAGTTACGTGACGGGCCAACGACAGCTACGTCCTCCGAGTCACTTTCGATCTCTATAACATTTGAACTCGCCGTTTTAGGCGGTGCCTCTGGCTGTACTTTCGGTAAAATAAACCGGTTTAACATGCCAGCACTCTGGTTAGGTATTGTTACCATAGGTGTTGGCGGCGAACATTGGACAGCCTGAAACAAGTTCACTTGATTCATTGGATTGTGTACATGACGTATAGGTACCACGGAAGGAGTAGACTGTAACAAGTTTGAAGCAACTGCATTCATGATAGCGTTAAACATCGGTTGCTGAATGAAATTAGCTTCTATTCTGGGTGGTAATGAGTTCTGTGGCGGCTGAGAAACAACTGTACCATCCGTGTTAACAGTTTCATTTTCAACTTCCACCATACTTTGTTCGCACGAGAGTAAGGATGGTAGTATCTCGCTATGATCCATTGAATTATCTTCGGTTCCGCTAAATGACTGACCAGAAGTCGACACATTGCTACCATTGAGAACTTTTCTAGGGCGACCTTTCTTTTTTTTCTTTGTGGGTGCAGTTGCAGGTACTGGTCTGGGCGTATAGGACACGTCGTCGTCATCCGAGTTGGAACCAGTTCTTCGGCGCTTCCTTTTCCTTCTACGTGGACAACAATTCGTTTCATCTAAATTCATTTTGTCATCTATTTCTTGTTGCGACAATCTACAACTGTTTTCTAAAAACCTACGAACATTAAAAAATATTATAACGTCGAGTTCCACTTACATCAAATGGAACACTTATACTACTTGGTACCTAGTCATTCTTTGAATAGATTCTAACAGAGCCCGACAAGTTGCTCTTGCTGGAAATAAGTCTGTAGGATCACAGACAAAGCATTTCCACTGTTCGTCAGCTTCAATCTTTTTTCTTAATACAGGATCAATGTTTCGCTTAATACACTTGTAACAGAAAGTATTACTACAGTATGAACAGCAATATAAATTGCCACCATTAGCACACCATCTACAAAACATATCTGTGGCATCATCACCTGCAAAATAAAATTAAGCGATAGAAAATATGATTCTGTAATGTATTAGGAAGTCTCCAATGATTTAAATACCTTGTTCAAAGGTGCCATCACCATAGAAGTCACGGCATTTTGCACACAATAATGTATGCAGTACAGGATGTTCAAACATGTTCCCAGCATCTCCTGGTGCAGATCCAATATGAGCATCACATGCTGTGCAATGTAATTTCCGAAATCTTACTACAGAAATGTCTGAAAAACCCAATACATTCAATTTGTATACTTTAACAATAAAGACGTTGTAATAACTCTTTTGGAAGATATTTGAAAATAATTTGACATGGAACACAGGTAGAGAAATAAAACAGCTTCCAAAATACACATAGCTCACTAATTTATTTGACCTTTCAGCACTGACAGAAGAAGGATTCTTGATCTGAGCTACAACTTGGTCACAATTATCTGTGCATTTATGTGAATATACTCATATATGTAGAACAACATGTCTGATTGGATTAGTATTTCTTTACCAATAAACTACAGTGAAATGAAATTCTCAAAGGTAAAAGTATTATAGACATATCTAATAGTGTAACAATCAATGCATCTGTGTTTAATTCTCATGCATTTCATATAGGGTTTTTCAGAAAGAAGAAAAAAGAAAGAAAGTGAAAAATAAAGTTTGGTATACATCAAGCCAGTTTATATTGTGGAAAACATTGAAGTAAAAAACAAGACTGTACTGACAAGAAAGAGTTCGTGACATGTTAGGAGCTCACCATTTCCAAACATAAGTTTGTAAAAGTTGGTTTCTTCTTGAGAAATCGGTGATGATACATTTGTCGTGCTTGGAAGTTGCTCCCTGGGAGTCACTGCAACACAGAGTAGGGTTAGGTACGAAATCTGGCGGAAACGTTGTCGAAACTGTTTGAAAAGATTTCCTGAGTTTACCATTTTCTTTACTGTCCACCTCCTTCACTTCGTCCACTTGCACCTCAAGCATGCTTGAGATATCCATTGTCAACGTGTGCTGGGACCCCGACTACGTACCACGAAACGTTTCAAAACACAGGTTACGCGCCGCCATTTTCCTGCAAGCGCGTCAACCTGAATTTTTGGTATGTGATCAGTCGATTGTATCGAAGAAAAATTCAATATTCCCAGAGAAAAGTTCCGATTAGTACGATCGAAAGATAGAAATTAAACAATCGAAAGAAGGTAATGCGGAAAGACCACAGGAAGATCTTTGGGAAAGCAACCTGGTGCATAGTAAAATTCAAGGGGTTACCCTACGGTAATTTGCTTCGACAATTTTCTAGTTTTTTCTATACTTCCTGTATCATTGGAATCGAAAAAACATGAAAAATAATTCACGAAATGTCGGGAATCCCTTAACGAGAAAGTTGTAGCCTATATTGAATGAATGCAATTATTTGAATTTCTTACAGGTAATCGGAAAAGAGAAGATTTTCTGCGTGTTCGAAGCATTTGAAAATTAGCAAGGATGTCGGAAAATACGGAAGGGTCTAAAGAAACGGCGCTAAAAAAGTCCGCTGAGAGATTAACAGAGGAGATACGAAGCATGACTAACTATAAAAGTCTTTACAGTGAAATACAGGTAAACAATGTTTGAATTACGAGTGCATTATGTATGGTGTTTAAAAAATTCGAGATATGTAATTAATAACACTTGTTTGTTTAGAAACTCGTTGCGTCTACAGCGGTGAAGAGAGGAGATTTTAGAAATACATTAATGGACGCGTTGAAGAGTAACGGTTTAGAAACTGAGATTAGAAACACGGTGTTTCATTGGGCTAGGTCGCAAGTTTGTAATTTGAATTTTTAAAGATTTCAAACTTATATACTTCATATATTTCGATGGCAATGATTTAATTGAATATATTTTAATAACGTTCATATTTTGTGTATTCAATTAGACCCGAGTCAGCTCAATTAGTTTGGTTTTTCTCTTTTCGGATAAACTTATTATTTAAACCATGTCCGTTAAATCTCCGTTGCGATTAAATTAAGGCAAATATGAATTATGTTTAATTATTCATTTAATCATTAAGATAATTGTTTCAAGAGCTCATTGTCTCCATCATCGGTACCATCCGCGGAAGAAATCGATTTGAGTTACTTGAAGAAGGCTCAAGTTCAATGGGAGCGCCGAATACAAAAATCACTGAATTCCACGTGCAATGAATTAAACGTCGCCTTAGCTCGTATACGACCTAGAGAAGAACGCGATGAACTTGCTGAAAAATGGAATGAATTAAGTACTTACGACATCGGTAAAGTATCATCTTATGCTTTTGTTATAGAAATTGGTGATAGAAATACTTCAGCAATTAATAATCTGGAATTTTCAGATTTATCACAATTTAGGCCATTGTACGCACCGAAAGATTTCCTAGATGTCCTATTCGCTATACGGAATCCTTCTTTCAAGAAACAGCCGTATATATTCATTTCATTATTATCTCTATCATTGAATCATTTCAGACAAAAAATACCGCGTCTGAAAATCATCGTATGATCGCTATTTCAGGGACGAATTAAATTGGGAGTTCAGTCACATACAGATTCGCGTAAAGACACTTACGCAATTGGTTCGCCCTTAATATTCGTAAACTTCAACTGTGTTATGTTCCTTTTAACAAACGAACGATATTTGAATTAAACAGAGACGGGTGTATGCGGAATTGGCCAAGGGGATGCCACTGTTAGGAGTGAATCCAGACATGCACACTTCAGAGAACCATGGTAATCTGGAAGAGGAAAGGATCCATCTTGGTGAAAAAGTGTTGCGATCCAATCATGCTCCGATCGCACAAGAATTCTTGAAGCGTGGGGCTCCTCGATCGCTTCGTGGACATCTATGGTCCCTTGTGTTGGGATCTATAGTGAAAAAGAATGTAAAAATAGCAACCCACATTTTCAAGTTACATACTAGTCCTCGATTGTTAGGATCTACTCGGTATCGATACAAACATTCACTGTATGTATACCACCTTGTACTCGCACCGTTTATAATTGGCATCAAAATTATAGAGTGCAGTGGATATACTTCCGCGATCGTTACAATGTTTCCATTGGTTATTGGCTTGTTTGTGTTCTATATATTCTTTCTCGATCGCTCATCATTACTCCTATGACATTGTGGGGTTTCGTATTGCGATTATAAATATCAACAGAATTTGATTATAAGGTGGGAATACACTGTACATCAAATGTACAATTTATTTAACAATTATTTTCTTTGTCTCTCAAAGGCAGGAACAAAACAGTATAACTGATAGCCATCAATATTATTTCAGGATCAATTAAATGATATTTTTATAAATAACGGCAAAAATAAATTTTTTCCAGGATGTAGAATATTACGAGGAATTAAAAAACATGGTATTGCAATACGACATAGTTATAGATAATTTAATAATAAAGGTAAATACAGATTACATAGATGCAATCTATGACAGAGTTACATACTACATGTACAATTTTCTTTTCTCCTTCGTTTCAGGACGTACAGTTAACTGCGAGAAACGACGACCAGTATTTTGTATTCGAAGATGTGTTGTACAAAACGATGTTATGTTTCTCACGCGATTCAGAGGTTTTGGCACCTGTGACCACTGATAGAAGCGCGGGTGGGCAGGTGATTCACGCAGTTTTGCAAGGAAAACCGGCCACATTAGAAAACACTTTGGTATTTCCACCAAGTGGCGTGATTCCATTTCATGGATTTACGATGTACGGTACGAGTAAAAATGAAAACTAGTAAATAAGTTTTGTTACGAATGATTAGAAACAAAAAACCTAATGGACATATTATCTGGCAGCTACTCCTTTTTGTTATCTCTACGACGATCCTTGTGCTATGTATTTCACCTTCAGAGCCTTCTATTTGCGATATTGGTTCCGCTTACATACCGTGTCCAACCATGAACAAGGTATAGTCGCATTGTGTCTTCTTTTTGAAAGATTACTTCAGTGCCACGAACCCCTCCTTTGGACACATTTTAGGAACTTTCATATACAACCGTAAGTTCAATTTTCTTATTACGATCGCAGATGAGGATACAATTAATATGACTTATTTTTAGGATTAAAGTTGTTTTCAAATGGATTATGAGAGGTTTTAGTGGCCATTTATCCCCGGAGCAGTTACTCTATTTATGGGACTTAATTCTAGGCTATGATTCCTTAGAAATCATTCCTTTACTTGCGATCGCTATCTTGAGTTTTCGAAAAGAAAATTTGATGCAAGTCAATACATTTCAAAGTATCGAGGTAAAACGACTTATTTCACTACAATATATTTCTTCTTAGTAGATAAAAGCATTTTGTTTAAATGTGTCTAATAAAATTGTATATTTTAAGGCTGTTTTGGCAGATCTATCTTCTTTAAAAGTGATTCCGCTACTGCAATTAGCTTTACTAAGGGAATAAATGTAGTGGCTGTTACAATTTCAATTTCAAGGAAGTATCATTCCCAAGGGGAATATAATTATGTATAGTAACTACTTTAAAAGTAAATATCTGTAAAGGAATAATATAAATTTATATATCAATGAAACAGTTTTAGTTGCCCATATATTCGAACATTTAAAATTTCAAGAAGGGCATTGTAACCAAGTCTGTTAGACGTGCTATTAATAAAAAACAGTAAAATTGTAGACATACATGTATGCGTCGTTTATTAATCCCATGACTATATCCATTACAATTCTAATAGTAATTTCTTCCTGTAAATAGTCCATATTTTGTTGAATTTCGCGGGACTTTGACTGTCTCCGTCTCGTTCTATAAACGAGAATACTTTGCCTAACACCCCCTCGATTATTCTGTGTTCTTAATACCAATGGCCGAAAATCAGCAGAGTATGCTGCTGAAACGAGAATCTCGGAAAATTGTCTATCCTTGTCGCACATACGGTGCCCGTATATCGCCCTCTTTCTCTGATACCTCTTCGGTCATCATGCTTTCATAGTACGTACCAGGAGATTATCAAACGGTTTTGAAAGTTGGTGGCACGCGGAATACTATCTCTATCCTACTTCCACAGTTGGTGCTCCTTGTCTCACGGACCACTTGCAACCTCCTCGGTTATTCTGTGTTCCTAATACCAGGGGACGAAAACAGCAGAGTTTGCGGTTGAAATGAGGAATCTTGGAAATTTGTCTATCCTTGTCGCACATACGGTGCCCGTATATCGCCCTCTTTCTCTGATACCTCTTCGGTTATCATGCTTTCATAATACGTACCAGGAGATTATGAAAGGGTTTTGAAAGTTGGTGGCACGCAGAATTCTATCTCTATCCTGCTTGCACAATTGGTGCTCCTTGTCTTACGCATTACGTAGATTATGATTGTCACCGAACAAACAACGCCTTCAAGCATTATTAGTAACTAATTACTGACAACTCGATAAAGGTTCATTCTTGATTCTCCAATAAAAAAAAACGCCAGTTAGCAGTGGAAATTTAGTAAATTTGTAAATAATTTTCTTGTCATTATAACTCTGTATTAAAGCAGGGTTTTTATTCCGTTAATAAATAAATAAATAAATAATGATTGGAATGTTTAGCAGTTGATTTCATTTAATCAGACGTATATACATTTATTACGTATTGTATACAATGTAGTAGATTTAAAGGTGGTATGGAATCGATTATATACAGTATATACAGTTTAATTAAAGTAACTTCGTAATCTTAAGTTGGACAGATAATTTTACAAAAGTTTGTTTTACATATTACATATATACTTTTACACCTAAAGACAAAAGTTTGTATTTCGGAAGAATAACAAGTTTCCAGAGAACTATAAAAGATCTAAAATTAGTTATCATAATGGTATTGTTGCAAACTATGACGTCGGAAGAATATAAAAAAAATCATACGAGTTTCAAAATAATTTACGGCTTTCACCCATCACCCTTTGGAAATTGTTTACTCGCTGTAACAAATACAGATCAAGCTGTAGCATATTTAGCATTTGTGGATGGAAACAATGAAGAAGCATTGATGGACTTAAAGAATAGTTGGCCTCTGTCTGAATTGGTAGATGATACTGCCAATGAAACACAGAAAATTATGCGCAAAATTTGTTCTCCTTGTGCGTTTGTTGATGACTTTCTGACACTTCTTCTGATGGGTACAGAATTTCAAATAAAAGTTTGGGAATCCTTATTACGCATTCCAAAAGCTAGTACAATGACTTATGAGCAAGTTGCACTGAGTATAAACAAACCAAAAGCTGTACGTGCTGTTGGGAATGCAGTAATGAAAAACAAGATTGCATATTTGATACCCTGTCATAGAGTGGTAGGAAAATCTGGCAGTAATAAATATAAGTGGGGAACAAAACGTAAAGAAAGTATCATGACGTACGAATGTGAATCTCCTTGAGTTCATTCCTCCAATATTATTTATCATACATTATATGAAACTTTTCATACATATATTTATTTTTGATACTATACTTTTCATAAGTCACATTACGATTATGTAAATAATCTAACAGAATTAAACATAAGTAATATAAGTAATACTGGTTAATATTAATATAGATAGTTATACATATGGTTTAGTTTTATAGATTAAGAGATATACTGTAAAGAAATACATATTTATCAGTATTGGATACCTGAATAAAAGATTTATTTCATTGCACTTTTGTACTGTAATTGTTAAAGGAACAGTGAAACATAAGTTACACATATATAAGATAAGATCACATTTTTATATTTATATTTAGATAATAATCGATATAACGGTTTTGTATAAAACATTTTCTAATAATTTACATCAATCTACAAAGTTCTAGATAGTCACTGTAAAAGTAACTGTTACCTCCACACTGTGTACTACTATTTCATTAATGTCATTCAATAAACGATAAAGCACTAAGTTTACAAATACATATTTAAATATATACATTCACATATAAATATAAAAGCAGGTCGTAAAAGTACTTTATAAACATACCATTTCACACAATACTTGTATATGAAACTTCTATTCGTGTCTTAAATATGACATTGTTTACATTAGTGTACAAATCTTTCTTAATGGACCTACTACTGTATTGTGTAAGTATTGTAACTCTTGAAAAGTTTCTGAACAAAATCACAGAAAGAAATTCTATCTACTGTATACCCTACTATTGGCATTATAATTTACTTTGTTTTTTTCTTATACACGTAACGTCATTATTGTAAAATTTTTTTATATCATAAAATAGATTTCTTCATATGGTATTGCTTCAAATGTTTGTTCCTTCTTAGAGTTTATTTTTGCATAGCAATAGACGTTTCATTATAAAATAGAGTGGTTTCGCTCTTTTACATTAGAACTAAGGGCAAAACTGTTTCAGTTAATTATTGTAAGTAAGTTTAGATTTATATGCACCTAAATGTAAGTTGATATAGTTACTAATAAACAAGATAGTCCATCAAAAACAATGTATATATTAAAGATATAAAAGAATGGTCAATCAGATTTTCTCTTTGATCTGAACTATCTCGTGTAGTACAATTAACAGAGTCAGTCTCATTTATTGATTACTAGTAAGAATTATGTGTCCTCAATTGTTCTATTGAATTTTGTATCCTCATATTGTTTGGTTGTTTCATTATAGTTTGTTTTCTTTTAATCTTCTGGTTATTAAGAGAAATATATATAAAATATTCAGCATTCATATAAATAGATATTTGTTGATTAAATAACTGTAAGCTGTCGTACAGTCCGTGTACTATGAAAAATACAAAACTCAAATTACAGTTGAGGTATACTCTTGTATATAACATTATTGATAGTCTTATTGTTAATATTGTAACAGTACTTATACTACAAACGTCGCATTAGGAGTTCAACTAATCAATTTAATAGACTATTGAGGAAAATATGAAAGTTGTGTTAAAATCAATGGTTACTGGATGGTGAGTTCTTTGGATTCTCCTAGCAACATATAGTTTTCAGATTCCTAGTACTTCTATCTTACAAGGCAGTGTTTGGTGAGAACATCATAAATTACAAAACTCTATGTATCTACAAAAATGATTGTATACAGCTTTAGGAAACAAAATGGATGATAGCGGTCCTTGTTACTTAAAATATTCATTCATACTGTACATTAAGTTCTTGATGTTAGACTTGATTCAAAATTAAATTTGTGATCTCTCTTTTGCATGAGTTAAATTATCTAATTATCGTATGTTAATTAAGTAATGCGACTTCTGATCACGGGATAATATTGAATTCACTAGTTCATTGTCTATTGCTAATGACAGTCTATTTATTCAAACATGCATATCAATACCTCTGAGAAGAGTAAGAAATGTTACCAATATCACAAAATTACAGGATGCGGTATCTTTACCCGAGGACAACGATGGAATATTGTTTCCTGGTAACTGGTCACTTTCTGTTGCAACAATGTAATCAACAATGACACATATAAGTTATATTATTTCTTGACGTATATAATAAAATGTTAATGAAAATATGGTACCTGATATTCTAGACCTTGGAGTCGTTGCAATTCTCATTATTGGATTACGAGGAATTGGCTTCATTGGCGTTGGTGCAGGACTTGGAGAGTTTCCATAACATTGACCTAATCATAATAACGTGTAACCGTAATAGTGTAAGCATTACATTAATAGTTATTTGTAGTTTGAATTATGTGTGTTACCTTTTTTATACAGACGCATTCCTTCTTTTTTAGGGCCAATATTTCGAATACAATGATCCCCAGCCTCCTTGATATAGATCTCTTCATCGTTTATGATTAAACCAACAAAACATTCATTTGTACCAGTGTCATTTCTCATGGTATATGTGTACATAACACCTCTTTCTTCCCATTGCCCTAAGCACAAGTATGTTCGTTCTAAAACAGATTTAATAAAAACGACGTTTTTTTAAATACATTTCTATTTCACAAAAAAATATTCTTTTTATGTAAGACTACTTATACTGGATGATTCGATACTTTACCTTCATAAAGTTCTCCAGACTCGCAATCGGTGACTTTGAAATACATTATTTCACGTGTGTTGCAATTACTGCTCAGTTCAGCACACATTCCTGATAAGTCAGTTATCATTCCCATGTACTGGCCAGTAATTGGACAAGGCGATTCCACTGCGCGTTCAACCCCTGTTTTAATAATATTATTCGTAAGTACATACTGGCAGAACAAAGAAATTGAAATGTCTTTCTTATGAAATTTTCAAATGTGACTTACTTGCTTGTGTCATCCAAACAGGTTTATCGAGATTAGGATCATCGCACAAATATGTTTGGTAAACTGGACTCATCACCATTCCTGTAAAGAATTGTAATTTTTCAACTTAGTTATCCTTTTTCGATTATTAATAGTTATAGAGGGATGCATACCTATTGTAAATTCTAGTACATTTTCACTTCGTTGCCTCATCATTAAACAGACGTACGCTGCTTGTTCACTAAAAACATATAAATTGCATACTGAAACTATAATACTTAAAATAAATACTTTCGGATATCGACACTCGAAGTTATTTTACCATTGATCCTTAGAATAAACAATGTAACGGCCGGTTTCTTCATTTGAGTCTACCGTAATGAAAGTATAACTATTGTACCCATTTAAATCAGTAAAAGTCATGGTACCATTTATGATGAGAGACTCTTCCCACAAACCTTGGGCCCACTTTGGAAATCTGGATCAAAGTCGAAAATAATTGAATCACGGTGTTGTTATCAATTACTCGCGTAATTAGTACATTTCAAAGTATTGAAGTTGACTCACGTCGCTACATGAGTCTTCACATAATTTGGCATTTTCTTTTGATTTGGTACTTTGCTAAGAACCAACGTCTCGTATCCACTAGTTGAATTATCTAAGTTTTCGGAGCAACTGGAATCACTACTAAGAGCCATGTATGTTTTCCCTTTTATATTGTCGACATGAAATAGCTGTAAAGCATTATAGATATAAAAATGTAAAAAACGTATAAACATGTACATTGTACAAGAAACTTGGCATGAAAGAAAATTTTAAACTCACTCCACATCTATATTGCGGTCTACCTTCGGTAATCGCATTGCTGTCCAACAGGGCGAAATACGTGGACCCATTTGGACCAGGCCAGTTACCCAAACAGTTGAACGTCAGATTTGCTGTAAGAATAATGACACACGCGCGGTAAATATGTTGTGTCTGTATTTATACATAAGAATTAAAAAGAAATATTACTTTGATATTCAAAGGTGCAACGATTAAAGTGTAGCCTTAAAACAGAGCCATCGGGACAGTTGTTGAAGGATGAGGAGAAGCTGTTGCATTCAATGGCCTTTTCGGATCCGTTATTGAGACTGTACTTGAAATGATACTGTCCAGTTATGGGACAGTATTCGTTTCTGATAGGAACACCGCCAATCTCCGTGGTACCTGCGCGGACAACAATTATCAATACATAGACATTTCCCGAAAGCCTCTAGAGTCAGTTCGATAAGAATAACCGAGCAGATGACTCACGATATAGTATAGACGTGGAGTTTAATGAATTGCAAGAAGCCAATGCAGTGGATATAGTGGTGTAACACCTATTCAGATTCTCCGAAAATACTTCAATGACGTTCCTTGATCTCCTCAGCAGATGGAAACATCTGATGCATTCGCCATCTCCGTATCTGAAGTGTAAACAAATCTCATTTCGATACTGGTGTCGAAATTTATGTTTTTCTCATTATTTTTTATCGTTAAACAATTACGTTTCTTCTCTGTCTGTTATCTGGTGATATAAGTAACTAATTACCGGTCCATTAAATTTACAACGAAGCACCGTTACTCAGAATATGTAGCCGACGTTGTCTGGTGTCTGGTCTATTTCCGTTTCAGACGCAGTTCAGACACGTCGGAGCATCCCCGAGGATGCACTCTCTAAGCAAACGAACGCGAATGGACTTATTAGCGGATTTGGCTCCAGCTAAAATGGTACGTTCGATTCGACTTTCTCGTTGATCATTGTTAACAGATCAAATCTGTGTACAAGCTGATGCAATTTTTACACATACATATCTCTCTCTCTCTCTCTCTCTCTCTCTCTCTCTGTGTGTGTGTGTGTGTGTGTCCAGCAAAATCACAACGATATCAAATGAATTATTCGTAGTATCAGAGTAGACCGACCTGTCCATTAGCAACACGTTATCACCGACCCTCCTGTGGCAATAACCCCATACAGGAATAGCGTTGTATGTGATGTTAATGGTGGAGTATTGAATGGGCTCGCCAGTTGTATCGCTCGCTTCCGTTCCGCTCACCTGTGTCACGAACTCACCCTGAAGTTCCGCGGGAAAGTAACAGCCGACCATGAACTGAGGGTCGTACCCTCGAAGGCCGTCGCTGGTGATCACAGTCGCATCTGCAAATTAAATAACGATGCCTCGTTAGCTTGGCTGTTTCGAAATGAAGCACGGTAATTGTGAATGAGGGACAGCCAGCCTCGTAACGACGAGTCCCACCACATTGACTCTCGACGTTTCAATTAAACGTCGTGACAACTCACGTTGACCACCAGATTATTACTTCACGAAGATTCTAATCAGATACCCCCCTCTCTCTCTCTTTCTCTCTCTCTCTCTCTCTCTCTCTCTCTCTCTCTCTCTCTCTCTCTCTCTCTCTCTCTCTCTCTACTAGAAATTTAATACACCATCACCTTCTGGCCCAGACGATCGATTCTTGGCTGGGAAAAACAAATGTATGCAAATCAATTCGATTATGGTGTTACGTGGAAGTAGAAAGAACGCGACATAGTGTAAAAAATAAATCGCGTTCCAGCTTATTACCCATATGTCGTGCACCCAACGATCCATGAATGATCATTAACGTTGGCATTAAGTGGTCACGAAAGCAGGTGCGACGCTGACAGGTGGACCACCATGGAACTTCGCAACGAAACATAATACTATCGGTTGCGCCTCTGAGAGATTGTGCCTCGGGATCACGTGGACCAGATTCTCTTTGCTCGAATTACGACTCATCCTTTTCGATCGTTTTACCATCCGAATTGAATCTGCGTGAATTTCATAGAACATTATTAAAAAAACGACTTCTGGGTCTTTAGGGACAAAGATTAGTCATTGTTTGCCGATGCTTTGGACGATTGATCAGCTGATGAATTGGACCATCTGCTGGTCAGTGGACAGTTGATTCGTTGCTCGACAAACATATCCGACATTGCGTCGACGCATATAATTCGATTACACCTGTTGCATCTGTCGACCCTAACGGAATACTGTGAAACAACTGTGACGAAAGTTCATCATCGAAGTCATCTGTCTGACAGAGACTGCAAATCGCTACCCAATTGCCGAACATTTCGCTATTTCTTGTACTATATTTATATATCTATTTAATATACATACGTCCAAGTTGAAGAGTTTCCCAAAAACCGGTTCAAGCCATTTTCCAACAGAAAAACGTCCAATATTGTATTTCCATTTGCTCGGTCGAAGACAAACCGGATGAAGGAGGAGGACCATCGAGTTTTCCTTCGAACAACAAATGGTCCAGCTGGATCGATGCTAGTGGAGAAGCCTAGCACGGACAGGACAAACAAGAACGAAAGGTGGCCGGGAAAGAGACCAATTCCACGGAGAAGGAAAAGGAGACAATGTGCAACACGTACGCGGGGAGCTGGTCGAGCCGAAGGAAAAGGACGTAACGCAGACTGGGGCGAAGGCAGTTTGTTCTTCGCATTCCTCTTCCTCCTCCTCCTCCTCACGGTACTTGTCGTGTTCTCCTCCGTACATTATACGTATACGACTAAACTCGGTGGTCTCGAGTTCCTGAGAACGTATGTAACTCACGAGGGCTCATAACACGCTGCCTTCAATCCCATACCGTGAGCCGCGCCTTCTTCCCTGCGGAGTTTTCGCCGGCTAAATACATACTTGCAATCGAAACGTGAACGTCCTTACACGTTCATGGATTCCGTTTATTCCATTCGACCGAGTAGCCAGGTCGATCTCACCTCTTGTTGCGTCTTAATAATCGAATTACATTTTACATCGTCACCTCGAACGCGGTTTTAACCGCTTCCCTCTCTCGATTCCGCCACCTCCAATCAAGGTAGGTACACTCGCGTTTTCACAGAATTTTGTGTACCTAATTGGGCTGTTGTCATCGTCGTCATCGAGCAATAAAACGACAAAGCAACAAAGCAAATGGTATAATCTGTCTCAGGGACGGGTGGAATCCAAGGAATCCCTCGATCGCGAGGAATACACTCACTCGTGTTTCTCAGCGTCCCTCTGCTAACTAGCCGTGAATTATAGATCCTCGATCCTCGAACACTTATTTAGCCTGACGGAGACGACTGCGTTTCGCGTGCAAATGCTACCTTACGCGCGTTTGAAACGAGCCCCCGCGAGCGATAATGAGTGCAGCTGGACCCCACGATGCCCAACCGTAAATTCGATTTTATTTATTTCTCGACTCTCGGTCCGACCCACGAACGGAAACAGAACCACGGACCCGGCTGCTACGACTTTTTTTTGCCAACGAGGACGATAAAAATATCTTCCGTCTACCATCTATCCACCGTTTCTTTCGGAGAGAACAATCGGTACCGTTGATACCCGAGGATTTGTGATATGCTTACACGTACGTTCGCATGATTCTTTTTCCTCGGTTAAACGAACGTCTCCTCCAAGTACATATTTCCTTTCTCGGAAAGAAAACTTTGATCTCGTTTCTGATAAAGATCACGGTATTAATGGGAGTGCAGATTACTAAAAACACGTTGCAAGACGGTGTTTTGTGGAGAGACAGATCTTGTTCCTGGATAGTGTCATGTTCAGCGTCGATTTCGATTAGGGCTCGTCTTTTACCTTTCAGGTGGTGTAAGTACGTAGGTATAAGTGTTGTATATGTATAGCTTGCGTTACGTCGTTGCCACGTAGCTCACCTTCGTGAACCGGAAACACGCTATTAGCCGGTGCTCTTGTCTTACCGTGATCACGTGTTCCCTTATAATTGCCTCGATGGTTTTTGCGTTCATCAAGATTTTTCGATGGCGGGTACGACGGGGAGAGCATATAACGTGACGGAATTTAGAAACGGGTTGTTCAATCGCGCCGACTTGCGAAAGCAACGTGTTCCATTTAACTTCCCGATCCCAGGAAACTGTGTTTCATCGAATCAGACCGGTATAACACGACGAGACGAACGAAAATCCTAGAGCTGGATTCTTCTTCACCTATTGGATAACTAGACGATTGATTGCAACGAGGCATAACGCGAAGCTTCACGCTTTCTGAAGACGGTCTACCAGGTGAAAATCGCATACGAAGAGGAACGAGTACGTATGTATATAACATGCATTTCCTTTCGCATAAATCTTCCTCGCCAATTATACAATCACAAAGAAAATTCCGGAAAACGATTTCAGCCGTCAAAGTGTGCGTTCCTTGGGTTTCTCTTCTGATTTTTCCTATGCCAACGAAATATGTTCAATTTGCAGTTTCATTAATGGGTCTTCGTCCCTGGAAATGAGAAGACAAGGAATTCTCAATGATTTTTCCTTAATGACTTTTTCGAATGTTTTTTAGGATGTTGTCCAAGACGGTCTCGTATTGGGAGAGAGAGAGAGAGAGAGAGAACGACGAGGCAACAGAAAGACCATAAGCGTCTACTTACGTCGGGCCATATGGCGCGCGAAACAAGTCCGATGTCCGATCCTGACACGGAGGAAAGGGATCATCGTCGGAAGATCGAGCAGGGCCGCTTTTTGTGGGCGCGTCGACCTCGAAAAAAGACGCGGCGCAAAAGTGAGCCGATGGACCACCGGATGTGGATCATCGCTGATCCTCTTGGTGCATCGGACCCGGGCGTTTATCGCCCGATTAAAATCTCCGGTTCATTGAGAGTTCGTGGGACGATATGTTCCACCACACGACCACACCGCTCCGAAGAGAACTCTTTAGTACAGGAAGCGGATTTTATGAGCGCAAGAAAGTGAGACACGAAAGAGATCACAAGCTGGGATATCTAATTATACGGTACACACGAAGTCGGCATTGACCGTCGTATCGTCATATTGGATGTTGGCCGAGAGGTGTAATCCGTTCAGCCGAAACTACCATCGGAACGAATTGCCACGGAGGTACCCACTACATACATTCTTTAGAATTTAGAATAGAAGAATCGAACGGTAACGAAGTATTTTCAACCCGTCCGAAGACGGGGAGAAGGTGGCTGCTTTGCAATGCCGATTCATCGTAAAACACCAGCGGAATTGTTATTCCACGTCCACTCGAAGCCTTTTTCTAAATATAATCGGCCGGTTTCCGGTCGCGCAGCCGGCAAGAAAAGTCGAAAACTATAAATACACACTTGTATCACGGCACATGCAGAACCATCGCGTCGGCGAACACTGCTTGCACGTGCGACGTGCGACACGTTGAATGAACAATGTCTTCGTCGAAAGAAAGAAAGGAGAAACTGTTCTAGCGTCACGTGTTCGGACGATGGATTACAAAATGATTAAAAACTGTACGATTGTTGCTGGAATTATTTTGCCAAGCCTTTTATATTTATGTTTTACAGACGGGGAGCGTTCGATAATGGAAAAAGATGTTATCGAGATGTTCTCCGAACGCATTCCTGGTGGTTCGTTAACGAGACCGCGGGCTGTCGGCGTGGTACTAATGAGAGATGGAAGGCGAAAGTACTCGACGGATTTCTTCCTCCTTATTATAAAAGCGAACATCCTGTTGTCAGGGTTTCTAATGCACCGGCCAGACAACATCTGGTTATCGCAATCATTACGCGTACCTATACAGGTACACATACCTACATACAAATACACTACATGTGACATAGAATCGAAATCTTCGAGGGGAGAGATTCGTTAGTCCCTTTTTCTACTTTTAACACGATTACCGCCACGGACGCAATTCCTTATCAGAACCTAATATCCTGATCAGTTTAGTATAAGTATAGATACCATGAAACAAGTTGATTGTAATGAAAATTTTCTTCAAATAATTGCTAAATAATTATTAATGATTTTGAAATTTCTATGTAAAATTTCATAGCTCAGCGTGAGATACAGATACATGATTTAGGTGACAAGTCAAAGAGAAGAACCAAGTAGGACTACAATTTCTGCCTTTTGGGTTCATACCAAATTAAAGACAAAACATAGATTTATTCGAATAACAACGATTCTTGCTGACTTGGTTTAATTTTTCTGCTTATACGTTGAAAAATACGGGGATAGGTTACTCTTAAGTGATCAGGAACTGGGTCCGTAACGGTTTGCGAGGCGCTCGATGACCAGAGGAAATCCGTGCCTAATTGCTCCGTAGACATTGTAGGTACGAACGAAATGTGTGGTATAGTATGAAACGATATCGA